TTTAATTCAAGAAAAAATGAAGGATTAAAGAAAGTGTAAATTGATTAAAAAAAAATCATCCACCGTTCAATGATTAAAAAGGATTATAGTAGTGAAAATAATTGCTGATGGAGGAGCTCAATTGTCAAATGGATAGAAAGGGCAACAAAGGACTTTTTAATCACCTTAATCTCTACCGATTACCAATTGCAAGTATGCACATTTAAATTGATTAATTAAGCGACTGAGGACAGTCAGAATTATGCAATTTGACCCCCGTTCCAAGCCGGTTATTGCAAATAATTTGGATCATTAAATTTTTAGGTTGCGCAAAAAAATTATCATTGAAATATTAAAATTTAGGGTGTTGTAAGATTTAAAATAATTATTATAGTCCAAAATAAAAAGGTTCTAGAGGTGCGTATTCCGCACTGTAATTTTTCGTTCCTAATATAATTCTTGGTCATTTCAGCCAAAATTGTGATGAATAATAAAATAAAACATCAATAATTTTTGCTAATTGAATCATAACAAATTAAAATTAAATCATTATAAGCGATTATAAATACCCTCATATTCAGTGATGCATTTGTTGTGCTGTTTAATTATTTAAAAAAAGTTAAACATCCGGCAATTAATTAAATTATTACCGTTCTTAAAAAGATCTTAAATTAGTTTTAAATTTTATTTTAAAAAAAAGGCAAAACTTTGTTCATATCAACCATGAAAAACAGTAAACACTTGCGTAGAAAGAGAATCTGCCAGAAAATTTATTTTGTGCTCTATAAAACAAATTTTATTATTGAAAATTATATAGGTTCATTTTTGTCTTGGAATTTTACGGCACAGAAATTAATTTTTTAATCATTAATTTTTTTTCTCATGTGTCAAAATTTGTTATTAAAAAGGCAATTTCTATTAACTGGTAATTTTGGACCATAAAAATAGTGGATTTTTTCGTTTTGGTGGTGGCCTTTGCTGGAGCCGCGCAAAAGGTCAAGGACTGCGAGCAAGGGGGCAGCGGGGGTTGACGGGTTTGATGGATGACGAGCTGGGGGCGCCTGCATTTGCAGGGAGGTTGGTGCACCTGGTGTATGTGTGTGTGCGTGAGGGTGCGCGCGGCGGCGGCGGCCTATTTGCGTGGCAGGCACTTGACCACGCCGCCCGTACACACACACGCGGCGGCGGCGGCTCGGAGCAAGGAAGGCCGCCGTATCGAGGACACTCGGCCTGACAGCAGCCCCCGAGAAGAGCGGCGTGTCGCTCGAGGCTGCTGTCACAAAGGAGAGGCTGGCCCCTTCATCACGCCGCACTCGTTACCACCGGCCCCCGATCCTGCCCCACATAATTAGCCCAAAAAACACACAACCTCAGATTTTGTCTGCGTGCAAAAAACAAGAATTGAGTAAATAATTTTGAAATACAAAGATTAATTTTTTCCAAATTAAGAAGTGGGATCTATTTATTTCAAACCTGTAATTTAGAGTCTCAGCAGGATTGACTAATTCTAAAATAAAAATAATTTTGTTTTCTCCTGTTTATGCCAAGAGCAGCTGATTAATTTTGATGATGTTTCTATATTCGAGAAATTTTGAAAATAATTTTTTGTCAACATCTTCCACTTTCATTGATGAAAAAAAAATGGTTCTTATAAATTTGACTAATCAACTGTTGAAAGAGTTCCTGGTGAACATTTACAAAATTTGAAAAGTTTAACTAAATAATAAAAATGAAAGCTTGTTTGTAAAACTTCCTCTTTCTTAAAGGAGCTCTATTTTCATATCATTTTATTTTATAAAAGTTGAATGGTCAAAAAAAGAAAGTTATAAGCCAATCACTAATTGTAAGTATAAAATTTAATTCCTTTGCCCTGGGCTGTGCATAAAACAGTAACAGATTTTCTCTCATTCAAAATTCAAAACTGCGTAGCAAAAGGTTTCTGTGAAAAGGTAAAAATCATTATTTACGCATCATTTCAAAATGTTATTGAATAATAATTGGAATCAATTTGTCTTATATTCATCATTTTTCTCTACGCTTGATAAAATTATACATTCTTGGAAAGAAAACGCGATGGGGTAGCAAATTTTATTTAATGCCTGCTACAGAAAAATATGGGGACAAGGATAAGAATGGAAATTAATTAATTAATTTACTGAAAATTTCTCAACCGATTTTATGGGAATATTCTTTGTGAGAAGTAGAAAATACATACATATTCAGTCAATCAATTAAAATTAATATTTTGAAGCTACTCCAAAGAGTAAACAGTGACAAGTTCTACTACACACTGGCGTGCAATTTTGATTGTAATTATTGTCAAACGATCTAAATGAATTAAAATGAAAGATTGTGATTACATGCCCCCTCCATTTTGCCTTATAGGTCAATGTGCCAAAAAAAACACAGAAGATTGCAACGTTTTATGATTACACTATGGTTTTGATGACACAATAGAGATCGGGATTGCAAAAATTTGGGTCTCGTTCAACTTTACCTAAATTTAAAGCGATAAAAACTAGATAGTAGATAATTGGAATATTTGTATGGATCAGTCTGATTGAGTGTGCGAAAGAAGATTTGCAAATTATGGCAATGGGTAAGCTTCGCGGAAACCACAGCAAAATTTAGTGGATGAAACAAATAGTTATGGCGTATTGCCACTTATTGCCTTCTAGTTTTAGTTTATTGTGTGCTAAAAATAATTTTAAAATCATATTTAAGTTTTATTTACACAAAATTGTGTAAATATAATTTCATATTTTTCACCTCCAGTGAGTCCAGAATTAATGAAAGTCGTCTTTAACCTGACAATTGCCATCTATTAAATTTATTATTTGTAAGATAATTTATATGTTACGTTAATCATAATTTTTAAGGAATATGAACCCACATAATCATTTTAAATAAACTAAAATGGGCTAAAATATTGATTGAAATTAATAAATCGTGAAAGAAACTTCTGAGTATATAATAAATGTTAAAAAATTTGTTAACCGAAATTACAAAATTACTGAACAAATAAATAAATGAAATTTCCAACAAATGACAGATATTATTCAAAAATTAAGAGTGCAAGTTTGCACATAGTAAAAAAAGAATACATCCCAATCTTCCAATAAAAATTGTGCAGCTCTAAAAACTTTCTGCGAATGACAAAGGCGGTTTTGCGTGGGCCTGTGCACAAGGATATTGTACCGGAAAAGAGGCAGCAGCAATCTGCAGTCATGATGCGCGGTTGTTTGCGTGTGCGACGCGTGAATCACACACGCTGCTCTTTATGCCGACCGACGTAATAAGCGGCCGAGTGCTAGAAATAGCTCATAACAAGGAAAACGTCGCGCAGGAAGCAAATATGGATCATTTGTTCGCCACCTTTGACCACGAACGGCCTTTCCTGTGATTCTATGAGGCTCAGAAAATACCACATTCAAACAGCAACAAAAAAGTTAGATCAGAGGTTTTTACTTCAATTAATTATTAATTTTGAACATTTAGTAATTAAATGAGCATTTACTTGAAAAAAATTAAAATAACTTTATTTTTAATATTCTTTATCATACAATGATACGATATTTTGCTAATTTAACATTACGCTTCAAAATTTGATGATCAATTTCTTTGATTTCTACGAAAAAAAAATAATATAGTTCATGACAATTTTTTAATTAATTCATTGAAAAATGCATCAGCCCTGCATGAGATTGGTGAATATAAACAGGGAAAAAAAGAATGTAGAATTTCTGTACCCTGCTTTATGAAGAAAATCTTTAACAAGCGTCATTGCTTGCAAAAGTTTTAAGTAAATATCACACGCGTATGGCGATAAGAAAACAAAACTGCCGGGATTTCCTGAGCAAAAAAAAGCGACGGTAAATAATGTCATTTGATGATAACGGTGGTGCGTGCGAGGCTATAATTGACGCTGATTTGACTTTCACCACGCCGTTAATTAAATACGAACATTTCAATGCACTCCTTGTGCTCACTTGGACAAACGAATGCAAAAAAGGAATGCCATTTTAATTATTTAGGGCGCAATAATGTTTCATTGTATGCTTATTTTATTGGCAATAACTTTCACATAAATTACTCAAATTTTAATAGTTTTGCATAATTTATAATTTTATTCAATCGACATTCCAAGGAATTCTTATAAATATCAAACAGATTCGGCGGCTCTTCAAAGGAGCCCAAGCTAAGTTAATTAATTGCCTGATTGAAATTGGTACCGATCCAATAAAAGACCCAAAATAAACAGCTAGGAAGCATTTTCACTTAACATCTGAGCTCTGTTTACGTTAAAAATAAAAGTGTACTTTCACTTTTAAAATTTAAAATAACATCTCTTAAGGAGAAATTGGACTGAAAATTTTAAATTTGATTAATGGAAGCAAATTTGAATTATATTCATGAACTAAAATAAACAAAACACTAAGCATGAAAATTGTCTATTATTTTTAGAATAAAATACTCTTTTCTAAATAGTGTAATTTCAATCACATTTTAGGATTGTATGCATACTTTCAGAAAAAAAGGGTTTATATCGTTGGAACTGGAATCATCTTCAAAATTGAGAATGAGAAAAAAACTTTATCAAATGAACTCTCCACATTTATCGGAGTATTTCAAATTTAGATAGAACTTAAATCTATATTTTTAAAAATTACTTGTTCATTGATAAGACAACAATAATTATGCTCCAATATCTTGTGATTTTTTATTTTTTAAATTATCTTTATGTGGATTCCACTAGTGAAATCAATATATAAAATTATAAAAAAAAATCATAATTTTTTTTTGAAATTTTAGTTGATTCCAATTTTTAGCAAAAAACTATGATTTAAAAACTATTTTGAATAGTCCACCTAATTTTATTATTTCCAGCTTAATTGTGCAAACTGGATTGAAAAACGGAATGTTTGCAACAACATGTGATTCTGACATTTGGGTCGTAAATGTCAAAGACCGAGGCGCGCGGGGGTTGGGGCAGGTGGCTGTCAGAGAGGTCAGTCACTCACCCAAATGTCGTTGTGGTCTCGGTGGGCAAGCTCCTCGAAAGGGATGGTGCAGTTGGCCACGAAGTCGTCCGGGGGGATGGCCGCGTCGTGGAACACGGTGAGGCCCAGGTTGACGGCGTTGGTCACCTCGGTGGTGAAGTTCTCGTTCCACACGGGGTCGAAGGTCTTGGCCTTGGTGGTGGAGCGGTCCAGGTGGTTCTCGTCGACGTCCACCATGACGTACGGGTCGATCGGCTGGTCTTCGGGCTTGCCGAAGGCCATGTTGGCGCGGTGCCGCTTCTGGAAGTCGGTGGGCCGCAGCCCGCTGGCCTCGCAGATCTTGAGTTTGACGATTCCGGAGAACATGCCTGGGTCGCGGGTGGGTCACTCGGCTGCAGGCATGTATCCCGTGCAAATCTCCTCTCACGGCTCGGCCGCCGCGCTAATTACGCGGCCCCACGGTGCTGCTGCTGCTGCTTGCCATTGCGTCACGAACATGGCAGCGCACACCGCGCGCAAGGGACACGACCAACCCCCGGGTCGGGGGCGGCTCGCTCGCTCGCTCGGCGGCTGCCTCCGCTGGCCTCGTCGCCGCCGCACCGGCTTGCCTCGCGCGCTGCTCACCGACGGCCGAAACGCGCTCACAAATTCGGCCGATTGCCGAAGCCCATGGCGCCTACGGACGACGTCTCCTCCCAAGTTCGATTGCACTGCTCTGGCTCTGCCTGCCTTGCCTGCGCGCTGCGCTGCTCGCCACCGCCAGGCCTGCGAGGGTGGGGGTGGGGCGGGTGCGCGGCGCCTGCTGCCGACGACGATCTTCCTTTCTTGCTTGCTTTTTTCCCTTTCGGAGCAGGTGCGGGGAATGGCCTCCGCGGGTACCCGGCTGCATTCGGCGGCCATCTCGCGGCTCCCTTCCGCACTCTCTCCTATTGATCCACAAAGGTATTAGAATTGTATTGATCCTCTTGCTCTTCGTTCTCCACTGACGTCGGCGCGCAAGGATTAGTTGCGGAGGCGCCACCTTTGGAATTTCAACCCTCGCCGACTGTCGTTGGTCGTTTCGGCCTTCGGCCACGGTTTTCAAACACGTCTGAGACCGTCTCGAAGGTTGTTTTGACGCGACACGAACGTTGCGTGCCGTAATTCCATTGCCATGCACACTCACTCATCTCTCCTGCGTACATTGCCATTCATTCGCCATCAGATGTTTTTTGTTTGTAAACATTGCTTGTCTGGTTCCAGTGTTGCTGATCGACTGGCGTGTTTGCAGTGTCGCCGATAATTATACCAAACTTTATATAAATAGCAATGATTTCTCTCGCTCGATTTAATAATAGTACAATACGGTACGTAATTACATTAGCATAAAGAAACAATTTCAAAATTCCTTTTTTTATTTATTTTTTATTATGTAACAAACAATTTTGATATATTTCCATTTTATGTATTTTCATTAAATTGTCTAGGAGGCTGTGGTCTAGCACAAATAATGCAACAAGACTTTTATCCTCATCCCAAACAGCGACGGACAGTGCCAAAGGCTCAGAGGAACTCAAAATAAGTGACAGTTGCGTAGAAAGGCTGAAGGAAATCACTTCAGACGATGGTGGGCACCTGAGAATCACAGTCGAAGGTGGTGGTTGCTCCGGCTTTCAATATAAATTTGATATTGACAACAAAATCAATGACGATGATAGGTAAAGGCATCAATCCCTTTCTTAAGATTTTAATTTTTATTCCTTCATCTTTTTAGGATTTTGGAAAAAGGTGGAATTAAAGTGGTAGTTGACATAACATCACTAGATTATCTAAAAGGCTCCACTGTCGATTACCACAAGGAGTTGATCAGATCAGCTTTTAGGATCATCGACAACCCCAAGGCGGAGCAGGGTTGTTCATGTGGGGCATCATTTGCAATTAAAATTGACTAATAAGGCTTCTAGTGAAATATTTGAATTATTAACAAGTGATATATTATGAGGTTACTACTCGGTTGTATATATTTGTTGGAATAACACATTGTTACAAATTAATTCAATTATTATTTTAATCAATCAATATGTAAGTAATAATGTACTGACATCGCCTAAATTCTGAATTTGGTAAATGGAATTAAATTTGCAAAATTAAAAATCTGAACAACCACATATATTTTAATGCAATGGAAGTCATGGAATGTACTATTTCTTTCCTTTGTTCTTGAACTGGAACTTCAGCTGATCGATTTCATCCTTCTGGACTGCTAACTTCTCATTCATATTGGCAAGATGCTCGGACATCATGCTCAGCTGCGACTCGTAATTCGTGGTTGTTGTGTGCAGCTCCTCTTGGAGTTTGTCTAAACACATTTTAGCAGCATTCATCTGCTGCTCCATTAAATTGCGTTGCTCCACAGCAACCTGTAACCGTTCATGAAGAGACATGCACTGGAAAAAATCAGAAATACGTCATTAGTTTAAATAAGGAGCCACTTGTTTAGTTAAGGAAATAATTTTTCATTTGAAAATAATTGTGGCTTTACTTCAAATGCAATGTTTTCCTCAAAATTTTAACAAAATCTGATACAAAATTGAAAACATACCTCTGCTTTAGAGGATGCAGCCTTTCCTTCCGCTAGTTGCCTATCAGCTACCAACTGGTTGATTCTATCGGTAAAATATTTTTTAACTTCAGATTCTCGAGCCTCAATTTCTTCAGTCACAGGAATTGGAGACATCACTTGGCCAAGCTAAAATACAATTTCATCTTTATTTTCATCGCTTTCAATGTTTTGAAATTCACCATGCCAACAAATGAGAAAGGTTGTCCAGAGTTTCCAGAGGCTTGACTAGCAGTATCATTATTTGCATCCTGGACCTCCGCAAGTATTTTTGCAGCATCACCGGAATCCTCACTCTGAGGAGTGGTGGTGCCAGACAAAGAGAGCTGTAACTCCAACTCTTTCGAGCGTTGCTGCTCTTTGATGTGTTTCATCTGCAGCAACTGATATTCTTGTTTCCAGTGCTCCTTGTCCTGTTCAAGCTGCATGGCTTTTCTCTGAGCACTTACAAGTTGTTCTCCAAGCACTTCCCGGCTTTTTGCTCCACCAACCGACTCCTCTCGGTGTTTCAAGGCTTCCTTGTAAGGGACACTCGGCGGTTCGTCCTCGTCCAACATTTTCAAATACGAAGACGCTCTTGACTTGAAGTCACTCACGGCTGGATGGCTTTTATTTGAGCAATTTTTGGTTTGCGTTTCAATTGACTGGAGAATTTTGGATTTGTTCTCCAAAAGCACGGAATGCAGTTCTTTGGTGGTGCTGACCAGACAAACCAGGGCGTTGACAATGCAAGTGTTGGTCAAGGTTAGTTTTTCACAGTTTATGGGCATCTCACTTTCCAATCTTGTCTTCTCTTCAAAAACCGTAAAAATCTCGGCAACATTGGCATGCAGAACACCGAGATTGTCAATTAGCATGGAGACGGCTGCCTTGAGGTTGCTGCTGGACTGCTGCTTGTTCCTTTTGCTCTGTAGACTCAAAATGTGGAGATAGTTGTTGATGCGGATGAATGTGTGAGTAAGTCTCTCCGTCTTATCGGCAAGACTGTTGTTTGCACTTTCCAAGGCTTTTCCGCAGTACGGGGAGTTATTTTCCTCTTCAAGTGAGAGTCTGGTGTATGGCACGAGTTTCTGCAAGTAATTGGAATACTGCTCCACTGATTTGGCTAAACAACTGAGAGAGGGAATGGTTTGGAGAGAAATTATCGAGCTGGAGTCCAGTCCGTTGTGGAAGTCTTTGTAACCTTGGTCGATTGCTCTCAAATGCCGGGCGTTTTCTTTCAAATAAGAAGAATACTTTGCTCCCACTGGACTGAGTGCACTGTCGGATGATTTCAACCTTTGCTCGACATAAGTATGGTAGTCGGACAGCTGGTTTGTTAACTCGGTGATGCGAGAGCCGACATTGGTAATTAATTCGAAGCACCAACTCTGCAGCTCTCGGTCAAAAATAGGGACGTTTAGCTCATTTAATTCACATTTTCCTAAAAAAAAAAAAAAAAAAAAAACATAATATTAAATAAGATTTTTTTATTTTATTTTTTACTTGAATCAACAAAAGGCAGCTTTGTGTTGATAATCTGCGATGCTGATTTTAATTTAGAACCAAGGTCAGTCTGCAGACGTTCCTGTTGAATTTGCAGAGCTGCAAGTTGGGCGCTGTACTGCTGGACGTCCCTCTCCCGAAAACTCACTTTTTCTTGCAATCGAATTCGCTCTTTCTGCAGCTCCTCTAGTTTTGACTGAGATTTAAATATTAATAAGAAAATTACATTCAGTCAAAATTGAGATCTAACCTTATATTTTGATTCGACATCCGAGGACGCTTGCTGGAACTGATGAACTTCTCTCTCTAGAGTTTGGACACGCTCCATTAATTGCTGTGTTAAGCGAGCATGGTCATCTTCCTTTTCTTGCAGCTAGTGAAAAAAAAACATCAGAAACACATTATTTGTAATTAAGTAAACCTTACCATCAACATTAACCTTGCGTTTTGAGCAATTTTATTTTGCAACTCTTCATCTAAAACAGAGTTCATCTGCTGTGAACTCTCAGAGGGTTGCCCTGACTTCTTATTCTTTTTGCCTCTATTCTGAATAATTGAAAATGATGATGATTAATAAAAAAATCTTAATATTATGCATACATGATTAAATAATAAACTTATGTACCTGCAAAATTTCAAGCTCATCTTGAAGAACGGAAACTCTTTTAGTGAGTTGCTGGTTTCGGAAATTAAGACTTTCCATCTCCTGGTCAGTCTTCCTTATCATCTGGTCTTTTTCTTTTAGATCATCCTGATTTAAAGAATTTATTGTATGAACACAGGAAAAAATTATCGTTGTGTTGTTGATGAAGCTACTTGCCTGCAACTTTGCTGTGTTCGATTGCTCTTGTAAAACTGCTTTTTTCAGCACACCGACTTGCGCTCTAATCTGTGGAGAATAAATCCCAGTCAGTATAAAAATAAAATTCGACAGAAAACTTGTCAACCTTGGCGTATTCTGCGGCCAATTTTTGATATTTCGCCTGCAAGTCTGTGGTTACCGCCTCCATTTTTGACAGGTGCGATTCAGTCAGCCGGTTCTGGCGCAACAACTCTCCAAATCCACTTGCTTATGGACGCAGATTGAACTTTCTCTTTACTACATGAATTGGTGCAAATTTAATCCAAAAATTTTTAGCAAGATAAGGAAAATAAAGAGAAGAACCAAAAATAATGTTTCAATTCAGATCATTATTATGGAATCTTCACTGATCCCTCTTCCTCTTCGTCCAATTCAGCCGCCCCACCCACCACTACTAATTTTTAAATTATCAGGTTGGCACTCCTCCAAAAACTCAGCTGTCATGTCAACACGCCAAATGTTGACGCCAAACTTCTTTGTCAGCTGTGTGGTGATAAACAATAATTTTATTATTATACTCTCTATTAAACAATTCCACGTGCACGTATGTATTAATTAACATCTTGATGCTTTTAAGTTTTTTTATGAAATATTTTAAATGATCTGATCAATTGAAACACAAATTTTGCATTGAAGTGATAAGCATCATTAATAAATTACGAAACCAATGACACCATTTGAGTACATATGAATTTTCCTACCAGGTTCGGTTTTTTTTAGAATAAGAATATTTATTTTATGAAAGAAATTATTTAACAAAATTTGTTGGACCAGAAATTTAAGAGAAACGTGTGAACGCTGGCAAAGTGTTTTTCTAAAACACACGCCACAATTGAAGTACTGTGTGTGTTTTGAGATATGATAAAAGGTTTGTTTACGCATGTAAAAAAAATTTACAATTTCTTTGTCGGGAAGTGCAAAGTAACTGAACTCAATGATCTGGCAAAAGGCAATTTTTACACATTTTAATATTGAATAATAAATTTTGAAACTTTTGAAATAAATAATTTTTTGGGATTATATAGAAGGAACATCATTAATACATCCGACCTCAAGTTAAGTGCTAAATAAATGCCTGGGTATAAGTATTGGCATATTGGGCAACATTTACAATAACAATCAATCAAAAAGGACAAGAAAAATCAACAATGCTTACATATGGGTACGTTTTCAAGTACAGAAATCTCTTCTAAATTTGGTGCAGTCAGAACGAGGGGCAGTAGTTTGACCAGGTTAGAAAAATTGGGCAAATACTTATCGTCATATCCTTCCCCTTCCCTGAACTTGAAACACTTCATGAATTTAAAATGGTCAGAAGTAACAATGTAAGGGGAATCAAGTGGGGATAGATAGCAATGAACATCAAATTTACGTAGCTTTGGGCACTTTGAGATTATTTCAAAAAGGTCCAATTCAGTAGGAGCAGATTGTATGCAGAGTTCCTCAAGTTTATCTCCACATACAGAAAGCACGTCCCTCACATACTGCTGATCATTTTCTAGTTCTCCTATGTCACACAGAGTCAATGATCGTAGATTGGAAAAGAAACCAAAATTGCTGGGATTAAAATAATCTTCATAGGTGCAAATTAGTTCAAGAGCTTCTATAAAGGGGACTTTTTCAAATTCAAAATAACCAATGACAGTAATCTGACGGAGTTGCAGTCTGTTGCCAGGGAAGGGAAATTCATTGTGGAGTGATTCACCCCGTGAGATGAACTGCAGGCGCGGCAGGTTGGCAATGCATTGGGTTATGAATCGATTGAAGTAGTCGCGCTGCTCAGCGTACGCTGCTTCTGAGACCTGCAGAGTTTACGGAGCTGAGATGTATCATTATTTCCAATATTTTCATACTTCATGTTATATAAGAAAAATAAATGGCATTTTTTACATTTAATTCTTCCAGATCTTCATCGTGCCAATTAAAATCCACTCGTTCAAGACGCTGCATCGAAATCAGAGCGCTCATTGTGTTGTTGTTAATCATATCAGGTTTGATAGCCAAAGAGCGCAAATTTGGGAACTTTATTGCAAGCAGAGTCAGTTCTTGGGAGGTGCAGAGATAACCGCCAAGAATTATGTGCTCAAGTTTAGGTAGCATCCAAAGGTATGGCAGCACACTGATCAAGGAGGGACGTTCCGGGAAATGTGGAAAGCGCTCTCGATCCTTCGGAAAGCACTCTCGGTTGTCAGTAACACTCTCCAAATTTGGACACCTTTCGGCAAGTAATCTCCAATGCAGATCTAGGCTGTAGTAAAACCCATGAAACATGCCAAAGTCAAACTCTGTTGTGTTTTCTGTCATGAAAATTTGTGCAACACGCTCGAAAACCCATCTGGCCATATCATCTCTCCGCAAAGTTTTTGCAGCTTTTGTCAGTATTTCCTTTTGGAGTGGGAGAGCTGAAATGGAGATTTAATTATATAAAATTTTTAATTTATCAATCTTATCTTTCACTTGGTAAAATTTGACTTACGAATAATGTTGAAAGGCGTGGAGAGCAATATGCCGCTGCCTGTCAAATTTTCCATGGCCAGCTCTTTCAAAGACCGAAAGTTTCGCATTTTGGTTTTAATTTGCTCAACCATCAGGAGAATCTCCTCTCTTTCCTGCGTTTCTCTATAAAAGAGCAAAATGTTATTAGAAATTTATATCTCAATTGAAAATGTGACAAATGAAATTAACGGAAATTAATAATGTAAATTATGTGCCAAATATTGCTTGAGGCGCATGCTTTTGGACCAACAGGTGCCATAACATGGGAGGTGTCCGTCAAAAGCGCTCTCATGGCCAGTGAAAAACATATAAGTCCATATCTCCTGCCTTCAGTATCATTATAGGTTATAGGTCGAATTAAACGTAAATTAATGATTTTGGGAGGATATTCATGTTTTGTTCTTTAATTTTTGCCTCGATCCTTTATTACTGACTTAAACTGAAACCATAAATCTGACAATCGAAAAAAAAAAAAAAACTATTGCAAAATATAATAATTTACCAGGAAAAAAAGATTCCAGTTAAGGTTTCAGAATCAAACAACTGTTTGTTCTCTCACTTATAAAAATACGACAAATAAAATTTAATAATATATTATCGATCTGTCAATATGTGAAAATGACGAAAATGTAGTCATAAAATCACCATCGGTATACCATTAAAATATGACAAATATATTTCAAAAGCTTTTTTTAATACATTGCAAAAACTAAATTATTTTTCAGTAATTTTTCTATAAAAATAAAAAATCATTTCATATATGCCTGGAAATTAAAAAAAAAATGGCAAGGTTTTCACTTTTCACCTCAAGTATATAGTAGAAACTTATAAAATTTGAATAAAATTATTGTAAACGCTTACGCACCTAGTCTTTGGAGACTCTGCCATAATGAATATTTATGCTCTCAACAGTCTCAAGTCTCAACAGGTTTCTTGACGGGGCCAGAGAGAATTTCTTGACAAAACGTCAAACTTTTGCTTGAACACGCCGATGGCACCTGAAGAATGGGGAACATAAGAATGATAAAAATTACACACATTTCATTAAATTCCATTGTCGCTTGCAATTCTAGTCAGAATTATAAAATGAAAGAATGAGACTATAAAAATGCAAGGGCGGTAAAGGGTCAGAAATGTTAGAAAAGAAAAATGCATTATATTTTTACTGTGAGAATTTTTTCTAAAATTTAAAAGCATTATGAAGATTTCAAAAATCCCCCCCGCATTAACCGGCCGCGCATTATAAAACGACTAAAACACAAGTGTGCAATTATAACGCGCTACATCATTAATCGCAATCCAAATCAGGGCGACACAGAACATAATTGAATGTACGACACGACATACACACTCTTAATTTCCCTCGTGGACTGTTGAAGTGACGATAATTCTTGTTGGACGAGACACGATCAGGATCATTCAGGATCGACAACAGAAAGAGCGAAGCAAGAAGCGATCCTCTCCTCCGAGTCTCCTCTCCAGAAAAGGCAGAAAACCGCCGGGCGCCGGCGCTTGAGAGGAAGAAGTGAGTTTGTGAGAGTGAGTGGCATGCTCAATAATATCCTGTATATCCTATATATTGTCTCTGATAATAATTCTTTTATTAAACGCTGCGCACTCAGCCCAACACACTGTGGCCCAACAGCATCTCCTATCTCCTAATTCTAAAGTAGGGGCGTGGCATCTAGGCAATCATGTCAATTGTGATTTGCCTACAGAGAATAAAGAGCCTTGAAATTGAATGAAAGAACGGAGGAAAAATAAATAATTAACGACGAAATTATAATGATGTTAATGTAGTCAAAAATTAGAAAACCATTCAATTGATCTTTTCGATACCTTCTAAATCTAGGCGATCAATAAAATTAAAATGAATTTAATAATATGAAAAGTAACTTTTTAATAAGATTTCTAAAAAATGTCCTTTTGAAAAAATCACATTTATTTTTAAGAATACCCTTTTAATCAAATGGGCAAATAAATACAAAAGATTGTTATTGTGCCATTTAAAAATTTGGCATAAATATTGTCATCACGTTCGTAATAGCATAAAATAAAATTTTTTACAAAACAGATACATTTCCTTTCAACTTCAACACAATATAAATTTAATGTTGACTCTTGCTATGTACAAGTGTAAATAATATATTTATAGCATACAAAATCTATGGCTGCTCACAGTACTTTTCCAACTACTGGGTTAATAACAAAAAGCTGCGTGAATTCCCATTTTCTGCTAACAGAAATCAAAGATTGGGACGAATCAACATTTCCCGACGCATGCAGTTGATACATCTTGATTGTCATGTGTGTTCCTTGGCTTGTTCAGCATGGCAAGATCACTGGGAGAGGCCAAAAAGCTTGAGGGCGTTGAAAGCTGTTGCCAGGGCCACCTCCTCAACAGGTTTTTTCATAAATGCAGCAATCATTTCCACAATCGCTGGCAATGAGCACGGCTCGTTGCGTTGAAAAGTACAGTATCGGTGAAGGAAAGTCAAAGATCTGAGACAAAATCAAATTTTAAAATTTAAACTTAAACTATTTAGCATGATCCTTACCGTTCCGTAAGGGCTTCTTTGACATGGGTCGGCAGTTTCGAGGCTCGTGTGTTCGGGTACATGAAGGGGGCGTCAGTCTCAACTAACAATTTGTCCAGCGGCAATGTGCCGTCTTCCAGCATTTTCCGCACTCCGTTGTCAGATTTGTCTTTGCACAAGAAACCTACAAAAAATATATGCTGTATGTTGGAAAATAAAAATTGCGTGGAAAAAGTACCGGTCAGGCCAATGTACATTCCTCTTTCGAGATAATGGTTAGCCTGCTCGACTGTGCCAGTGAAACAGTGGACAACGGCAGCTGGAAGACGGTCGCGGTGCTTGTCGAGAATTTCCAACAAGTCGTCATGGGCGTCGCGTTCGTGCAGGAACAGAGGCTTCCTCAACTCACAAGCCAGTTGCACCTTGAGGGAAAAAAATGAAATATAATTTTGAATAAAAATATGCAAATGATGTTAACAATTAAATAAATAAGCATTTTTCTCAGAAAAAGTTCAAAATTTGGTTCCTTGCAAAGAGGAATTGTTTCTTGAAAAGTTTCTACGAATAAAATGAGAATTGTGAACAAAAATTATAAAAAAAAATATGATCACTACAAGGACCATGATTATTTTTAAAGCCTCAATTTCATTACTTTAGACAACATTTATTATTATTATTGTTTATTCTTCACAAAGTAGTCATACATGAATCAAGGAAAAAATTTGAAGAAACGGCAACACCTCTGGCAAACAAGTTGCTAAAACGCAAAGCCTCAAAAGAGGTCCACGCCGAGATGGGCCGCAAGCTAATTATCACTTATCACAAATTTAATTTAATTATTCCACTAAGTGACAAACTTAAAAATTTTGTAAGTTTTAATAAAAATAAAATCTATTGCAATAAAAAATCAGCTGGGAAATTTTAGCTTGGCAATATCATGTTCATGTCTTTCATACATTAATTTTTTAATGAGGGGTTGTCACAGAGGAATGAGCGACAGTGCCAAGATAAAATTCCGTTGCTGTTTGTTTTTTTAAATGTCACTTGGCATTGTTTGTTTGCGCAAATAAAATGGCACACACATGGCTGATCGCAAAGGTCAACAGTGTGAGCAAGTCCATGATGCTGCCAGCATGATTGCGCACAAAATCAGCTCTATGTTAAAGAAAAATTATATTTTACAACCGACGTACCTGCTTTTCAAACACCTCTCTTTGCTCTTCGACAGTGGAAAAGTTTCGATTATAGTCCAGGCCGCATTCTCCGATTGCTACGCACTCTGAGCTCTGAGCTATGTCTCGTAATTCTTCGTAATAGCCCTCCTCCCAAGATTTTGCATCGTGTGGGTGTATTCCTGCATCAATTGTAACAAAACTTAAATTTCTGATAAATGATATTTAAAATAAAAATAATACTTTAATTTTGTTCTTTGATTACATAAATATGGTCAGAATAAAAAAGGAAACTATTGAGTGTTGACTGAGAAGAATAAATAATAATAATTACAGTAAAAAAGGGTCAAGTTACCAGCAGTTGAATACAAAGAGCCAGGATAAATTCGTGTCAGTCGGAGTGCTTCCCGGCTGATTTTGAGTGATGTCCCAGTCACCATTATTTTCTGGACCCCTGCAATTAAATTTGAATTAAATTTTCCAAAACTTCAGTTCAATATTACCTGAATCTTTGGCCCTTTGAATGACCGAGTCTAGGTCTCTGGAGTATTTTTTGTTGGTCAAATTAGCACCGATATCAACAATAACGTAGTTGTCGTAGCACTGGTGCATTCGGTCTTCCGTCGACTCTAGCTCGGTTACTGGGACACAGCTTGCCATTCTAAAAGGTGCAACAAATGATTAAAAAATTTTAGTTAGTATTCATATTATGTGCTTCTTGGCTTGCACAAGAAATCAAAATTACAGGAATATAAATAAAATAATAAATATACAATCAAGGTACGGTTTGAAATTGAAAAAATATGAACAAACAATATAATAGAAAAAGGCCACCGTTGACATTAAATATTCATACATTTAACATTTAAATACAAAATTATCAACGTTTGAAAATTAAAACTATATTTTATAGAAACAATTTGATAAAAAAAAATCCGTTTTAAATATTAAAGTTATGGAAATTTTTTTTATGAATTTAGTTTGTTTATCTGGGCATGATAAGCAAATTAAAGTCCCCTCGGCCTTTGTATATTGTACGATACAATATAATTAAACCATGTGAGAGTTCTCACTGCGCGTCTTTCACATACATATGTCTCAATTAACTAACAACGGTGGCCCCTTCAGCAGTGTGAGAATCGCAACGTATGTACGAAAACTGAGTGCAATGTTAGAAGAAACTCGAGAAGAGCAATAAATTTATTTGCCCCGTGAGTCACCGCCTCCGTGCACAACTCGGTCAAGAAACGACAGCATTCCGGCGCCGACCGCAGAGTCTGGCGGCCAACTTTGCAGCCCAAAACATCAACAAATTCGTGTCCACCCCTCGGACAACGTTTCGGGGGCGGCGGAGGCTGCACGGGGTCGAAAATCACTCACCCGGGTTGGTGTTACGAACTGCTTCTTTGACTTTCCTTCACCGACTGCACTGACAAGACCACCTGGCATGACGAATCGATCGCGAAGGGGGCGTGGTGGATCCTGCATTTGAAGAGATTTGGAAGAGATGTATGCAACTGGCAGTGCTTGCGAGTACGACGGAGTGCGTGACTCGCACTTGTTGCAGGCGCCGGCAGTGGACCTTTTCTCAGCTCAGCATTTTCTTTTCTTTTTTAATTTTGGTGAAAATTAATTCGTTCCGGCGAATTGCTTCAGCTTTTTCGAAACGAGAGCAGCGGTTGTATGGGAACACAAGTTGCTGCTCATACATTTATCGATTTTAAAGCTGAGCTTCAAATCTATTTCATGCGCCTCGGGTTGTTGCATACACTTCATGAATATGATGAATATTGCATATCATAATATATAATACGGTGTTGGAGGAAACCAAGGATTTTTAGCAAGATATTCTAAATGCAGAGGCACGTGAAGTATTTTTCCACAAATATTAAAAGTTTTGAAACGTTCCATCATTGTTTAGATCTCACTATATAAAAATTGTTGTAATGCAAAAATTCAGTGGTCGTCGTGAGATTTAAAATGAATTATTATCTTTCTGCGAGTAGTTCTTAAAAATAAAATTAATAATTATGATGAAGAGATAAATTAAGAAATATTTGTTATTTAATTAAATAAAAATTGGAATTCCAAACCAATCAAATTTTCATACTTGAAAAGTAAAACAATGTTTCAGTAATTAAAATGGGAACATCTTTTGGTACATCGATTGAGACATATTTGTATTGTAACTTGAAACATATAGATACAATTAAAATAAATACATTGATTATTCAGACAAATTAAGCTAAGATTAGTTAAAATAAAATACGCATATTATATTTTTGAACTAACAATTTCCAGCACCAATTTCAAAGCAGTCAAAGAACCAGTACTTTTTAAACATTATGGCGTCATCGCATCTCACGCTGCGCGAGTCCTTGATTTTTTTATTTGTTAGTTTTATTTATTAATTAATAACTTTTATTACAAATATAGCGGCTCAAGACTTCTTGCGGTGCAAATCCTCGGTTGTTTTATTCAAATAAAAGACGAATTTAGCAGCTGCGCACCACTAGTTTTTTTTTATCCCTTAATTAGAGACACGCGTACGTTAATTCAATATTATCTTAAACAAATAATAAAGAAATTTACAACATCAATTTAAACTGTAGTAAGTGATAAACTTATTTTACTTAAAATTATAATGTAATTTTTCTTATTGCATTATAATTTGAAGCAAAAATTTCTAAAGGAAAAATTTTATTATTGCTTTTTTGTGTGTTGTCAGAGAATACAGTAATAAAAATAAAAATTCCGATTAAATCAATAATCAAATCAATGCATTAACTGGACAAAATTTATTATTTTGTTTTAATACATTACGGAATGATGTTATTTTATTATTATAGACATTTTAACTTTGAAAGTCATCATCGTTTATAGAACTATGCATGTATAGATGTAGGAGTTCTAAAGCAAAGCGTTTGGATATTGGATGGATTCGCGATGTTTGCGGCAAGGTCGGCGAGCAGATGTGAATAAATTAACTCACGCTTTTGGGTCAGCACTGTTAGTGGCGAGCGCTGCATATATTCGCGTTTTGCGCTAAATTTCGGAGTTGCGGCACAGAGGGATGTTATTGCAAGCCGCTTGCCGTTTCTGGGTCAAAGGCCAAGGTTGCAGCCTAGTATTGAACTGAGCGGGTGGGGAGACTTGGGCGGTTCGGTTGTTTGCAGAGGAGGCGGTTGCAAGCTCTCTCAAATGCAATTGCATGAAAAAATAAAACCCTGCTTTTTGAGATTTCGAGCATGCACAGGCAGTAAAAGGGAATTTATCGGTTTGACTTTTTCTCCTTAAAAAAGGATGAATTTTGAAATTAAACTCTTCGGATGTGTTTTTAAGAAAGTATTTTGACCATTTTGCGACATAAATAAAGTTTTTTCGCAAAACATTTATTAACAAATATAATATATTTCACAGTATATGCAGTTGCGTTGAAAGCTCGTTAAAATCGTAGAAATAGTGTACAGTATGTCCAAAAATTTGATACGATCGAAATCTGCATATTATAATAGAATGTTTACAGTTAAATAAAACATAATTATGCTTCTCATTGGTCTTCTGGTCAAGACATTCATGTTCAATAAAAAAAATCTGAAAAGAATTGGTTGGTTGGTTAAATATACATTATTTGATACTTTATTAAAATATCTATGGAGATTTTACATTTATTCTCTTTTCAGTAACTTTTTCTTGGAAAATGTAACTTTCCTCTTGGCATAAGAGTTAAAAGCTTTGCAAACATTTTCAAAAGATATATTTTTTTTATTATCTATTACAAATTCATTTTTTCCCAACGCCTCTTTTTCTGTCTTAAAAGATAACCTCGAGTTTTTTTTATTTTTTGTTAAAATTTATTTTTACGCCCTTTATTTATTGATTAGTCCAGCTTGTCAGTTCGGATTTATTAAGATATTAGGGTGTTCCACACCAGAAAGGACAGCAGCGGCGGAGCTGGTTATCATACAGTTAGTTTTTAATGCAAGATTTGAGCGCTTGTGACGTTTTGAGCTTTGAAATAGTTTCAGAGGGCCGTTTCCTTCATTGCTTCATCGAACCTCCTTCTTTGCATCAAGGCGCGCTTCGAAGGCCGCAGGGTGTAGTTGTGGCGGAAACGGTTCACGTCGCGCCGGTGAACACACCCTTGCCGCTTCAGGGCGACATCATTGCCTTCAAAAATATCAATCACTCAAATTTAAGAACTTTATGATCAAAATTTATTTAAAAATTTTAATAAAGTTTGAGAATATGAGTAAGGTCTCATGTTTTTTTTCTTCAAATTTTGTAAATTGAAAAGTTTAAATATAATAAATTAATTTGATTACAGTGAAAATAATATTCAAAACTAACATCTACACTTGACCGCTTAAATGAAGTTAAAAGAATTAAGGTTTTTTTATTGTGCCGCATCACTTTGCGCAGTCCCAAGTATTTGCGTTATGTATTTCAATTTATTATATTTTTTTCTCAATATTTTTCAATTTTTTAATTGCAAAATATTTTGTAGCTGTCTTTGCATTTTTTCTTTCTAATTTTCACGTAAAAATCCTTATAATCTCATTATAGAAGTTGAAATAAAGAATTTAATTTGCACAAATCGCATTTAATTAAAACTGTCTGCAATTTCGAATTAATTATATTGTCTGCTCTAATGCTTTCCTTTTGGAGGGCGCCAATATTTCTTTCGCAATAAATTGCGATAATTACGCCCGACTCTTAAATTAATTTCAATTTAATGGAGGGCACTTACCTTTATTGCAGCGAGAGAGACATGGAATGCTTCTGAGTATGGACTGGAAGCTGGCCCTGAAGCGCTTGTTGAAGTAGGCGTACAAAACTGGGTTGATGCATGAGTTGGAAGCCCCTAGCCATTGCGAAATGGGCAGCATTGCACTTATAAACGCCTCCTTTCAAAATAATAGCGATTTAAAAAAAAAGTTAATTTAGCTAAATTATTCACACCTGTCTTGGCGAAAGTGTAGATGGACCCACGAGTTTCACCCAGAAAAAGAGAGAGTACAAAGGAAGCCAGCAAAACGCAAAAGACAGCACAACAACAACAAGCATCTGCAAAAAACGACGGCAATCAGATCCCGAGTTCTGTCGTTGGCTGGCTCGACTTGTTACTTTAATGACCCTGGCTCTGGTTCTGATTACCACCGACTGGTGTTCCTGGAAAGTCTCGTCTTGAGCGCTGCTCTTGTGCCAGACTTTCCTCCATACCAAAATGTAGCAAACGTTGATAACACCTAGAGGCGCCAGGTAGCACAGGAAAAGGTGCGCCACTGTGAAGTAGATTTTGTCGCTGGTCGGGTCAGGCCAAACCTCTTCGCAAATCTTTAATATTTGTAGGAAGAATATATTATAAAATTTGTTTCGAATTAATTTTTAAAATTAAAATTTTGCTAAAGAATAAGTCCATAAAAAATAGCCCATAAAATTATAAATTATCTGAAATTAGTGCAAGAGTTTAAAAGGCTTTTACCATGAAAAGTGTTATAGAAAATAATGTATTTTGCCTGCAAATCAGTTCCATCGTCGAGGGGTTGCAACTGAAAGTAGACGAGCCAAGGCGACGTGATGGCCAGGCTGAAGAGCCAGATTATAGTGATCGTGTAGTAGCACGCCTTGTCGGACATTGCCGGGCCTCTCATGGGATAGCAGATGGCCAAGCACCGTTCTACGGCTATCGCGACCAGGGTGTGCACGGACGCGGCCACGGACACACCTTGCAGGTATGGCACCATCTTGCAGATAAAAGGGCCCAGCAACCAGGCTATCAAAAATTTTAATTTATAATGAAAAAACAAAAAAAAAAAAAAAGGATATTTTTGCCTTTTTTTAAAAACCCTTAAATTAGGATGATATTACGCTGTGAAATCAAATAATAATTTATTATATTTTAAACCAAATATTTTTTCCTCCCAAACTTTAAATTAAGAAAATGGATTTAAAATAAAAAAAACTGAACTTGAATGTGTCTTAAAATTTCAAACAGAAATATGAGTTAACGATTCTAAACTAACAAAAAAAAAAGTAAAAAGAGTGATTTTAAACGAAATTAAATGACAATTTTTTTTAAATATAATGCCTAAAGATATTTTTAAGTAATACAAATGATAAAAAAATCATACATGGGCAGAGCTCACTTTGCGCTCTGCGATCTGCGCTCATGAGCACGATGGCACGATTTTCAAAATCGCGAGCGCATTGGTCGCTGTGCGCAGCGCTCAATTGCGCTCAAAACAAAAGTAAAAATTCCCAAATTTGATCAAAAATTTGACGAAAACAGTGTTTTTATACCAAAAACTTCAAAACTGATCCCAATTTTGGTGATTTAATTTCAAAATTTCAACTTTATCATTTCCAATTGCCGATGGATTTTTGTATATTAAAAAATTGTCTAAAAAGTCGCACATTTCCTTCCGGTAAAAATATTTTTGAGCGCAAAGCGTGAGCGCAAGACTTTTTAAAAATTTGAGCGCGAGCAAACTGTTGCCAGTGATCGCGAGCGCAAAATTGTTGAGCGCACCCATGTATGTAAAAATAAATGATATTTTGAAACAGATAAAAAAAACTTAATATTTATTATAGTTTCTATGAGAAAAAAGTAACTCACCGCTATAGACGTTTCCTAGAAGGGTGAAAGGGAGACAAAGCAGGTTGACCATGAGGTCAGCGCATGCGAGGTTGGTGATGAACACATTAGTGGCGGTGCGCATGCGCGGTGTCCTCCTCACCACGACCACCACCAACGCGTTGCCCACAACCCCGAGGACGAAAATTGTGCTGTACGCGACGTACATGACCACGGTGGTTTGCAGCGAGTAGCGCAGGCCATCGCTCTTGACTGCACTCAACCCTGGCTGGTTGGGTGAGACCCTGAGAGGGCGCGTGCAAAGAATTTTAAAAGATAATATAAATTCAATTTCGTGTTATTAAACCATGCTGAACATTATATTCCCAAATTTATTATTATGAGGGTTTTATTTTTTGTTTTTCAATAAAAATTTAAAATGTATACATTTTGTTTTAATTCAATTTTAGCCCAGTTTGAAATTTCCTGTGGAGAAATACTTGCGATCATTAAGCCATGATTTAGGAAAATCAAGATAAAAATAAGCCGAAACTTAATAATTCTCTTCATTTCTAAAAAAAAACCTTGTATGCACATTTTAATCAGATTTTAATCCAAATATTGATCTATCTGGCACGATCTGGCATAATATAATGTATCATGAATTTACAAAAATATAGGAAAATAGTTTAACATTTTTTGTATCGCTTGTCCACATTGTTACAAAATGCATTGTATACATTAAATAGTTGAATTAATATTACACCGAGAACTGACCGAGAATAACAGCAGATAATAAAACGTTGCTTGAAAATGTTGTATTTTCATCTCCAATTTCAATAAAAAAAAATCACCGTCAAATAGCAACCCGACATCAATTTGATATGGCACTGCAGAGCATTATTTTTTTTCTGTGTCTGCATTACTTGAATTTCTACCACCCTCTTCTACACAGTCAGATTTTCATTCCATCGCACCTCCAGGTGCTGAACGAGTTTGGGTTGCTAAGGGCCATGTTTAAGCCTACGCAGAAATTCTACGCCCAGCAATCGTTTTAGCAGTGAAGAGGGAGGAATTTGGTGGCATTGAGTGTCATCATTATATACCAGGCCTAATGAGCCAAAGTGCTCCAAACCATGTCTGCCTTCCAGGAAAAAATTGAAAAATAAATGCTTCATTGCGGGTTAATCCATACTTCTTTTTAAGCAATCATAATTGAGCAATGTTCCTTCAATGAGGAAAATGAGAAACCAATTATTTTAAAAGTATATAATTATACATGAATATTATATTATAATATTATTTAATCGCAACAAAATCAGAACGTCTCCAAAATAAAGTTACGGCGTCATAATAAGATAATAACATTAAAATATGTGGAGTTAATAAAAAAAAAAATAATAATGATTAAATGACGGGATGCTTCATTAAAAGCGCCAGCAAACAATTTGCAAAAGGCGCAAAAGGCAAGCTGCATTTGAAGTCAGGTTTTTGTTTTGTTTAGTTGTTTACTGTTTCCGTGGAAAACAGTACCCGCCTTTACCTGTACAGATGATAAAATACCACTGAAAAACAGTGTTGAGGAAAAGTGCACTTAAAAATAACTTGTTTTATTACGCATACTTTCCTTTAGCTAGGCAAATAATGCTTCTCGAATAATAAATAACTTTAATAACAAGATGTAATTGTATATAAATAGTAAAAATTTTTTAACGGCTCGAGTTTTTTCTAGTATAATTTTATTGCACAAGCAACTATAAGAAAGTATGAATGAATTTTGAAGAAATAAAGAATTGATTGATTTTTAAACGCCAGTTTGTTAAAATGATGAATGAATTAGAATGCCCTCCTGATGCCCTCGTCGCCAAAAAGAAAAATTTAATTAAACAACTCCTTTGAGTAATTTCTTGTGAAATAGCGCATAATGTATTAAAAAACTTTTCCAGCCGCTTAAAAAATTCTTAACATAGAGAGTAAACGGGAGTTAATCAGGCCAAATTTTCGAGATAAAGAAATCTATACAAAGAGCCGCTTTTTTGGAATGAAAAGTTATAAGGGAGACAAAAATCTTTGCAAAGTTCCTTGAATTGTGAAAGTGAAAAAGCGCAGAGAACTCACGGCAGTTCCATGACCACGTTCGCGGCCAACGGGGCGCCACCGACGACTCGGAGGGTAGCTCCTGTGCTAAGCCATTGCAGCTCCCGACTGCTGGAGGGATGCTGCTGCCGATCGAGATCTGCCCATTTGCCCAGCCATGCGCCATCTCCCACTCGCGCCCCTCCTGATTATGCAGCCAGGTGGTGCATGGTCGCGCACTCGCCGCGATTTCCACCTTAAATTAAACACACACTTTCACCTTCAAACAAGATTTGATTGAATACAAATTGAGATTTTTTCAAATAAAAATCACATCAAATAAAGCAATTTAGAAACACATTTTTCATTTTTTTTTTTTTTTATATTTTTTTTTTTTAATTTGCTAGTAAAAATGTATTACGAAATGAGTTGACTATATAGAAAATAGTGATATATGTGTGTGCGATTGCGAATGAAAAACAATAATCGTCATCTTCTCATGTGCAGCAAAGGAAAATCTGTGCCTTGTAATAAAGTGCGCGCTACAGAAACTCGTCGTCCTCTCTTTCAATTGCGACAAAGAAGAAGTTTCCTCTGTCTTCCGTCCTTGCTGGGATAAAACACACTGCTCCCATATCTGTCTCTGAAAGAGCTCATGAGAGGAGCATTGAAAGCTGCAAATACTTAGTCTGTGCTGCGTGAGTTTGTAAATATGAGAGTGGAGGACTCGTCATCATTTTCCTCTCGTTCCTGTGAGGACAAGAAAAATCTAGCAAATATATGTATGACCTACATAAACGATTTATATGAAAAAAATGGTTTTTCTTTATCATTACTCATTGTCACACCCTGAAAAGCTACATTTTCCTTGTTGAATATATTTGTAGCCGTTTTGGTTTTTTAATGCAAGAAATTTTCAACAAGGATAAAGCCCGTTTTTCACTCAAGAACGTCAACTTATTTAAGCAAAAAATAAGTTTACAAGTGACTTATTTTGGAAACATTTAGTGAGGCCAAACTTCTTTATAAATCAGATTTTCAACGTCAAGTTAGTGTGATGAAAATTATACACTTTAATTGGATGGGAAAATCAGTCAATGTACTTTCCCAAAAGCTGCATAAACTTTTTAACTTTTTCACAAAATTTTCATATAAAAAATGCAGATTATTTTTAATATTTTATATAATACAACATTGTGTAACTTTCCGAACGAAAAAATCTTCGCGCCGATTAATTCTTTAATTATAAAACTTTGGTGTAATAAATTTATGAAATGCAATGGAAAGGAGAATAAAATATAAATTATATTCAATTGTCCTTGTCCAAAGTTTCCCTCGTCTACATATATTTTTTATCATTGCAATAACTCCCATATAACCGTATGAGGACAAAGTTGAGTGAGAGACCCTGGAAAATTGATTTATAAATTTTGCGCAGAGCTCACATGCATAAGAGCAGCTGGCGGTATTTTGCTGCTTATGCTGTGGGCATCGATATATCCATACATGTGATTTGCTGCGAGTGTCGAAACAATACAAATTATTGATAAATCTGTTCCGTGCCACAATTGCCTGAGTAGGCGACAGGCAATAAGTGGGTCACGCTTATGAATCATAACAACGCACCTCCTCTCTAGATATTAAAGGGAAGCAACTGGGCTTTGACTTGATTATGGAATCTTTGTCATTTTGAATTCAAAATTTAATTAAAAGTGTGCATATTTAAATGGAATAATAAAAATTTGCCATTCTCTTTTCTTCCTATTTAATTTTCGCTGAGAGACCTAGATATATTCCGATATATTCCTTAAATTAAAAAAATTTTAATTAAAAAAATTATGTACATATTATATGAGATTGTTAAAAATATGAAGAGAATTCGACGCAAAAAGACTAACACGGACTAACAATTAATTGACCCTGGCCTGTGAAATTGATCAACAGCTGGAAGCTTCCAAAAATACAACTCAATTGATGCGCGAGCAAAGATCTAATTAATTGACAGCGAGGTCGCTACTTTTTAATCTACCCGGCGCTGCTGGCCTGCAGGATGCTGGTCATCAGTCAGTGCAAGCAAGGGGTCCAGAGATGAGGCGTTCACTGCTGCTTTTGCTCCTTTTACTGCGCCAAGTGCATCCGTTTCGGCAAAATCACAAGGTTATTTAAAAAATAAATTTTGATGTTTTAAAACTGTTAATATTAAAAAAAAATCTAATGAACTTGCAATTTTGCGTGATTAAAAAATTAATTAAAAGTAAACAGGATTAAAAGTAATAAGTAAATTTAAATTAATAAGGATGATGTTGATGAAGAGGAAAAAGAAAACCAAGTATTAGAACTGGAAAACAAAGTTGAAAGTCTCCACAAACTCGTGAGATCTCTGGAGAAGAGAATTAAATCCTTAGAACAACCTGGTAAGAAAATTCATGAATTAAGAAAAAAAAAAAAAAAAAGGAATTTATTATAAATTTTGTCAGTTTGGCCTGTGGCTCACGGTGCCCTAAGGTGGAACCAATGCACAGAAGGGCCCTGCCGGTGTCGCCCTGAAACCAGAAGCCTCAGTTGTTGGCAACAGTCGCTTTCAGAGTTGCCCACTGCCCAAAGTGTTCCCCGAGATACCAAAGTCATGTACTTATAAATTTTTAAAACAAAATCATGAAAAATTGTAAGTGAATTTTAGAGACCTGGGATTAAATCGACTGGCTGGAATTCACAAAACTGCTTTCCAAGGGCTGACACATCTAACTGAACTGTGAGATTTCAATAGATTTTGCACAATTAAATTATAAAATTAATTTATCATTTAAAGAGACCTGTTTGACAATCAGATCGATCACTTGCCAAGTGTTTTGTTCGCCGACTTGGAAAGCTTGAGACATTTGTGAGTGAAAAAAGCGAATTTTCGTCCAATGCCTGTACATAACTTGACGTGAGTGCCAATTTTTCCAGACGACTGCACCAGAATAGATTGGAAGAATTGCCGGACAGACTCTTGCTCCGCCTAATCAATTTGTCCACATTGTGAGTCGCATAATTAAAATCGAAATATATTCGCACATAATAAAATTATCATTCAAGGGATCTATCGTCCAATTTGCTCAACCAACTGACGGAAAACCAATTCGAGGGTCTGACGAGGCTTGTGGTGTTGCATGTATCGGGCAACAAACTGGTCAACCTGCCCGAAAGTGTGTTCAGAGGCTTGAAATTGCTCGAGGATTTGGATCTTTCAAGAAACCTCCTTGCAGAACTGCAGCCAAAAACTTTTGATGGACTTTTTAGGTATATTGCAATTTTTGGGCAGAAAAATGAGCCAGATAAATATAATTAGAATCTTCATGAATTACAAAGTCTTTAAGAGGAAAAAAATTGTGGGAAAAAATGTGTTTTTTTTATTAAACTATAAAATGCACTTTTTTCCAGTTTGAAGACGCTGCGTTTGCAAAAGAACCACCTTAAGGCGCTCCCCCCTCTAATTTTTGCCGGTTTGTCCTCACTCCAGCAGTTGGAGCTGCACAGAAACCACTTGACCGTGTTGCCCGCGGGCCTTTTGGCACCCCTCGTCAACCTGCAGAATCTTGATTTGGCCTCCAACTGGCTGACCACGGTGAGCAAGCATAAAACCAGAGTGGCTCTCGTACAAAAGGTCATAGTTTATAATAAAAGAGAAACAACATCACCAATAACGCTGCTAACTTTTGCACTAAAAAACGTTTTTAAGATGGCCACATAATTCACGGCAATCCCAATCAATTTGTTGAATAAAGTTTGAAGTGATATTTAAATAACAAATTCAAAATAATTTTTGATCAGTCATGTAGAGATCACAGTTATAGCTAAAATATTAAAAAGCTCTTGTTTTGTAGTTGGACGCGGGAGATTTCATGTCGCAGGAAAAATTGGTCGAGTTACACTTAGGTCAAAACCAGCTAGACGCGATACCTGACGCCGCCTTTGCCAAATTGGCGTCGCTCGAGAAACTTTTCCTCTTTTCCAACAACCTGGAGAGAATTGACGGCGCCGCGCTAATGGGCCTGCGAAATTTGAGTTCGCTCATGCTCAACAATAATCTGCTTAAGGACGTGCGAGCGAACGCCTTCGAACACGTGCCGAATTTGCGAAAACTGTACGCATCTCATCAAGCACACATTTGCTAATTTACGCTGATCAAACGTGTTCCATATTTAGACAGCTGGATAGCAACAAGCTCCATTTCCTATCGGCGAACTGTTTTGAGCCTCTGGTCAAATTGGTCTCGGTCAAGTTGGCGAAGAATCCGTGGCACTGCGATTGCAACATTCTCTATTTGGCCACGTAATTTTCATTTTGAGAAAACAGGGTTTGATAACATTTTAAAAAACAAACTGAAAATTTTATAAAAATACATTAGCTCTGATAGTTTCCGCAATGAAAACTTTTTTTGCTAATTAAGTTAACAAATAGTCATTAAAAAAACCCCCAAGAACAACGTGAAAATCGTCAGACAAAATAAGTTTTGATTACTCTTAAAAGTTATTCCGACTCATACTTGTTTGTTATTTTATTTTTTACTGTTTATTTATTTAAATTAAATATTTGCAGTTGGTTGCGCAGAAACAATCGCAAGGTTTGGGACACAAGCCCTACCTGCCGCGGTCCTGGAGACCTTGGTGGAAGGACCATTGAGGACATGACTTTTGACGACCTCTGTGATGGTCAGTGGGCGAGCATGACAAAGTTTTACCACCGCTTGCCCCTTGCCAAGTAATTTACTAACTATAATACTAACCAACGCTTCAGCTTGTTAATTAAAAACTATATATATTCTTTCCAAACAGTATTTAACAATTTAAATATAATATGGAGCATGATTATTTTAATTATACATTTTTTAAGTTAATTAATTATTATTATTTTTCAGACAAGAAGATTACATAGTGCCCCATGAGCCACACGAGTCGCAAACAAAAGGAGAAGCCACACATTCGGTGCACCTCCACAGATGGTGACGAAAAAAGAAAATATATATGAATTTTTACTCACATAACACTTAAATTTCTGATCAAAATTAATCAAGTGGTGGATTTTTTATTGAAATGATGCAAGTTTTATATAGTATAAAAATTAAGTCCCTCTTTCATAAATAAATAAGTCTTTTTGTAAATTAATCTTCACCTATACCAATTTCTGAATTTCTCTGTTACTTCATTGATTTTTTTTAGCCATGAAGTAGCACATACTAGCACACATCATACAGCTATAAGAAGGAAAATTCATATTTGAATTGGCATGATATTTCTAATAAAAACACGAAACACGCTAAGTTGATTTCTACTTTCTACCAACTTAAAAACTTGACGTACGCTCGAGTTGAATATATGCAGCACCCGCAATGCCCTGGTTGCATATTGTATAATATTTACAGGCAAAGTTATTTATTTTGGTCTATATTATGATAGGGCATTATAGTTCATTTGTCAGTCGAGGATATGAGAAACATGTTAAAGGGGAATTTTGTTGACTGATTCTACTCTAGTTGGAAGAGGAGAGATTTTCACAAGTCCGAGCAGCCGGACTAATTATTGAAACAAATTATGTACTCAAATTGAAATTCAGTGTGTACTTTCGCGTTATTCACTTCTAATTACACGCAAATTGTTTGAGCGCACGACGGAGGCCTCGTATTGTCTTTATGTGGGGTTCGTTGGCACACTGGCACTGGCACTGGCGGGGCCCTTGCGAGAGTGTACTTTAACTCCTACACCTTAACCTTAAGCAAACAACGGTGGCGACAGCGGCGGCCAGCCGGAGGCAGTTGCAGGTCGGGGCCGGGCGGCCAGCAGGCGTACTGGGGGCCTCGAGCAGCGGCGGCGGCTGCAGTGGTGGCGGTCGATGCCCTCAGGGGTGTCCCGTCTCAACGGTCCGGCAGCCTCTTCATTCGGACACGTAGCCTTGGAAACCAGACAAACCCAGAGTCCTGACCCAAGGCGTGTCAGTCTTTTTAGGCGCGACACTTTCGCACTTGAATGAGAAAGATGTATTTTGAGCGGCAATAGACACTCTCTCGTGCGTTTTACTTTGGTTGCGTTAAAATTCACAAAATTTGTCCAATGCAGACCAATTTTATCATGCAAGAGTTTATTTCATAATTTTGAGCCGTGAATAAAAAACAAAGAATAAAATACAATCTACAGGTCTGATTAATCCTTGCCACATTTCCAACCACAACTGGCCACTAAAGCAGGCAGCGCCTTCGTACCCTTTTGTAACTTGAGCAGCGACGGAAGCTAAATCGCGGGAGAAACCGCTCCGATAACAAAACTGTATAAAGATTTTAACAAAAAATTTAGCATTTTAAGTTCGACTATACGAAGTGATAAAAATAGGTAACCTTAGTTCTTTTTGCTGTTTTTAAGTTCAAATTCAAGGTTTTAAATAATCTATTTAATAAAGAAACTTAAGAAGAACAACCTTCTCGTTGTTTTCTTTACCTTTAAAATTGCAACTTTAACTACATATGAATTATATTTTAAAATAATATAAAATTTATATAAAATCACTAATTTTCAGAACTAGAGCCTACCTAAATTTTAAATATATTTACAATAAAAACATCATAAAACTAAATTTTGATATTAAAAATCATTTATGTACACAGTACACAGCTTTCAACTCTCGCCACAAGAAGAGGATGAAGTAGGTGGCCAACATCAACCGAGATTGAGCTTCGACGCAGCTCAAAACATTTCTAGAAAATTTTTAGTCTAGCATCAAGCCCATTGCCGACCTTCAAAATGGACAAGGGAAAAAACCGTTGCGCATGTTGCATGGACAGCTGGACACCGTGCGGCCAGTTTAAATTACAAAAAGCATTTACTCTTGATCTTGATGTATAAGAGCTTTATTTGTAAACTATAACCTTTCGAATAAATGCCTTATTCCGATAATAATAATCTTGACCCTTCAGTTTATCTTCATCTTTTTCTTGTTTGGTACGGGGTGTTTTGCTTTTTCATGGTTAGCCAGGTTGTTGTCCTTTTGGAAGAACAACTTTGCACATTTGGTGCAGCTTTTCGCGCGTGTGCTTTCGGGTGTGCCGACGTAATGGGTACATAGAGTGAACTCGGCCCTACAACCTTTCCAACTGCACACGAAAATCTTCCTAGCTGCAACTAATCGCAAAAAAAATCAGTCCAAGCAGAAATTACTCGCAAAGTAGAAGTGCAAATAAAGATACAAAAACTCCAAGCGCAACACAATTATTGCTTTACTGCATTTATAATAGATATTCCCTTAATTTCCTCTGTGTCAGCTTTTGTACTCATTTTTATAAAAATATTAAACTTGCTACAGCAGATAATTGTGCAATCCTTTCATACGCTTTCATATTATCAACAAAAACAACTATATTACATAAGTAAACCGAAAATGATGTATAAAACGCTGCAAGAAAAACGGGAGGCCACGAAAGGCCCAAACAGAAGTTTGTGTTCAGTCTGGCACTAAAATTATGGGCAAGAATATGATGTGCAATTTTTTTTCAACATAAATTTTTTAACATGATGTTCCAAGTTGGAACCAATAATTTTCATTTGCACTAATAAAAACTTAACGAGACTTTTTCCTCCCACGTAACTGTAATCTGGGTTTGTTGTAAAAGCCATAAAAACTGATAAAAACAAAATAGAAAATTGTGCTAAGAAAATTTTGGTAATTAACTAATTTCTAACCTTCAGTAATTGTCTGGTTTAGGACCACTCCACCAATTATGGCATTGTTTCCTACCTGGTGGATGAGGTGGCTGGAATCCATTGCCCCGTGCAAGTTGACTGCCACTAATTGCGCGTGGGAGCCTGCTTGGTGGACAACGTGGTTGTAATCTTGCCTGTCCATGGTCCTGCTCACATCGAGGGCTGCAATTTGGGTATGGGCGCCTTCTTGAAGTACTAAAGAGTTCCTCCAATTAGCCCTGCCGCCGCCGAGTGCATCATTTGGCTGTCGTTCCATCTGCGGATCAAAAATTTCAATTAATATATGGGCAGATTTTCAGCAAGAAAACCACAGTGTTTATCTTCTATAATTCACACTGAAAAACATGAATACAATCAATATTCTTTCAAATTTAAAAATAAATGGAGAATTCTTAAATCTAAATATTCAAATTTTGGCAAATTTGTGAATCAAGTTTTAGACATGAAATTCTTGTTAGGCATGTACATATTATGCATCAAATTGAAGAGTAATTATTCAAGATTAATAAAATCGTAATTTTAATTGACTTACCCCTAAATAAGGGCATGAAAACAGGGTTGAAGAATTCGCCTTTGAGAGTGGCGAAGTTGCTATGGCAACAACCGGATCAACAAACGGTTGTAACGGATTGCGAATAAACAGACGGCCGGCAGGGGGTGCCAACCTAAGAACTTTTTACAACAAAGGGCGCCACAAATATCAACAAATTTGTGTCTAAAACAGTATGGGTTTATTAAAAAATTAAGCTGCACTTGTAAACAAATTTTTGTTAATTAGGCTGGAATTTTTAAAATTTACTTAAATATACAAAAATTGGAGCAGGATTTTGCAAATTTTGAATGAAACTCGCAAAAATCTTGAAAGAAATTCTTGCGAATTTGAGCTCAATCTGAAAATCTTGTAAAAAAAAAAAACTCCTTTAATTAGCTCGTACTCACTTTCTCGTCGGTGCCTGTCTGCCGAAAGACGTGGCTGGAATCGGCTCTCTGTCCATGGCCCGGCTCAGGTTGAGGGCTGCAACTTGCGCGTGGACGCCTTGCAGTACTAAATAGTTGCTCCGATTACCCATGCCGACGAGTGCATCATTTGGCATTTGGTTGACGTCCTATCTGCGGATCAAAGATTTTAATTAATCTCAACAAATTGTTTGTCTAAAAAAAGTATGGGTCATTAAAAAAATGAAGCTTCATTTGTAAACAAATTTTCGTTAATTAGGCTCATGTGAACTTTTTCAAAATTTCAGTTAAAATCGCAAAAATCCCACATGGACTTTTTAAAATTTAATCAAATACAAAAATTAAAGCAAGAACTTGCGAATCTGAAATTCTCAACAAGTTCTAGCAAGATTTCGTGAATTTTGGATCAAGTTCACAAAAATCGTGCAAGAAATTCTGGCCAATTTGAGCTCAATTTGAAAATCTTGCAAAAAAAAAACTCATTTAAGTAGGATAAACATTAAACCCGCGGTATAATGAAATCAGCTGGTTATATTAAAAGATCGTTAACATGCTCGCGAGGCTCATTTTTTAGATAAATTTAGTTTGCTAATTTTTAATAACAACTTTATGAATTAAAAAAGTAAAAGAAAAAAATTAGTGAACGTGGAAAAGTAAATTTAAAAAAGTTTGTGATTTTATATCATTTAAAGTGTTTCCAAAATATTTAGACCTTTCATCAATGTGAAATTGGGCTAATAAATCTTTTTCTTGTTTAAAATATTAGCGTGTAAATTTCTCAACTTAAAAAATTCCCCAAAAGTTTATTTTTTATTTATAGTTGGCATTATTATTTTTAAGGGGACCCACTTTTGGCATGGGGTCAACCGATTGGAATGAAATTCGGCGCATTGGTTGCAAGGGTGTAGACAAATAGTTTAGAAGGATTTTTGAATATTCTCAAAATTGCCTATTTTACAGCGGCTCAAAGTTTTGAATTTTGAAAAAAATATGTTTTCGAATATCGATAATAACCCAGCTCCTGTTTCAAATAGCGCATATAAGCAAATTAACAAAGTTGTAGAGAATAAGACACGCCCTACAACTTTGCCATAGTGTCCTAGGTCATACGTCAAATTTTAAAGTCACCAATTTAAGCTATAACTTTTTGAGGTGCCACAAAAGTACCTAGTACACAAAAATTATTGATTCCATTATAGCCAAAAGTTGCTCTAGTTGATAGTCAACATGTTAAAAATTGGTGAGACTTTTTTTTCGTTTTTGAAATCATTCTGGACATAATTATGTCAACAAACGTGGTACTCCGCGTTCCGCGGTTTTCCGAAGATTTTTCTTAAATAAGATAGCTTTGAACCACTGTAACTTTGTTGCTGTTCGAGTTATGAAAAAATATCTCTTAAATTGTAACAAGGTCCCTTTATTTTCGAAGGCGAAGGGGTGCGTCGCACCTGCTAAAATGGGGTGCACGGCCCTCCGAGGGTCGTCTATGCAGAAGTCCAAGAGATTTTAGTAAAAAATTCGGGTTAAAAACCCTCAGGGCAGGGCTATCCAAGTCAAGGGCCAGTCTTCAAGACTGGTTCAAGAACATTCAGGGCCAAACTACGGCAAATAGATTTTGTCATCTAGATCTGCAATTCCAGCAAAAAGACGCTGTGCTGTTCTGAATATTTTCAGTTGTGCGTCACCGCCCGATTAGATTTGTTTCAATGATTCACTTTTGAGTGACAATTCCTCTGTTCTCGTTAATATCAAACGCGAGAGATTAAGCAGCAGCTCTTCAATATTCTATCAAACGCGAGGTTCGCTTTGGGAAATTAAGCATCGCCCATGGCGATCGGCCACCGACGCGCGGCGATAAGATAATCAGATGCCTCTAGCGCAAATGTTGATAACACTTGCTTTAAATAATACATTCACCATACTTGTCAATCGGCGGGCCACCTTGGCAGACCTTTTTCCATTTCGGAGCACCCAACTTTCCAGGTGTGCAAAATGACCTTCAGGTCGAGGGCGCTGTCGTGCTTCTGGATAGCATCCCTGCTGATTTCAGGCGTCTTTTCGCAGAGTAAGTTTCGATCTATGATGAAATGATTTATAATGGAACGAAAATCTTTTGAAAATTTTCATAGCCAACTTAAAAGCAAATATGCAATAATTATATTAAGATGGTTTTTAATTTTTTTTCTAAGTTAATGATTTTAAAAAGAAAAAATTGGTTATGTATTATGAAAATCTTTATTTGAAATTAAATGCCTGATTTAGGGGGAGATAAATCATCCCTAGAACTAAAAAACAAAAAAGTTCATCTATATATCATATTTCACTTTAGCGTTCCAAAGCTTATATTTTGAGAAATTTTTTGACAATGACGCGCGCATGACCTGAGCTTTTTGATAATGGCAGAGACACAGTCAGATATTATTTTGGGACGGGTACTCGCACCTGCACCACTCAACGCTAAGTCGATAAATAAAAATTCACAGGTTGAGGGGCTAAAAGTGGGTTGCTTGGCAACGCATCAGCATTTTTTTATGTTGTGCAGGAATATGGAAAATTGCATGGCTTTCGTAACATTTTTAGAGTAAAGTTAAGAAAGATGGAATTTTTTAAGTAATAGTGGGCTGATAGATAACAGACCTGTTGACTTCAGAGTCGAAAAACGGCAATCAATTAATGTGCACGAGATAACGCGTTTAATCGATGCTTAGAGGAGAAATATTTCAATAATGGATCACAATGTTTTGCTGGCGAGCAGATAAAAAATTTCAAATTAACTTTTGACAGGCTGCAGAATATCCCAAGATGGTGAAGAGATCTCAATTGGAACGGAACTCATCAATACAAAATCTGTTTCTGACGCCTCGGCAGCAGAGGTGGTTGTAGAGCGGCTTCAAATTATTGAAGGCACTGTGACAGGTAAAATTCAGAATCTCGGATTTGTAAAATAAGAACAAATAGCTTCCGTTGTGTATGAAAAAAGGTGTTTCTCTGGGTGAGGAGAAATATCTAGCGGCAACCATCGAGGGTGAAGAGATAGTCATAAGGACCACTAACGATTTCCAAAATTATGAAGAAAATGAGGTATATATAAAGAAGCATGAAAATATATAGCAAATAAATAAACAATCTAAAAACTATTTTTAGTCAGCATCGTCCTTTGAGTACACACTTGTAATGGATTGCGCCGATGAAAGTGAAAGAAATATCGTAAGTCTTTTTTATAAATATTCTGTAAAAGGGTTGAAAATCTTAAAAAAAATCCATATGAATTGATTTTGGATTCAAATTTTTGAGGAAAAAGTACAAATCTTAGAACACATGTACCAAAATTTCTGATTTGTCACTGATATATTGTATATATAAATTTTGTTTTTCAAAGACACTTACCTTAATTAAAAAAAAGTTATTTTTTCCAGATTTAAAGTAATTAATTATGTGTTATGTGGCAAAGAATTGTGAAAAAATTTGAAACATTGTTTGAGATCCCTTAGAAAAGATTTCAAATTAAATCAAAAAACTTTTTAAAACTTGCAAATTAAAAATTTCAGAACATTCTCACACTAGTTGATCTGACCAACAACCACGATCCTACCTTCATATATGAGGAAGGGACGAGCAGTTACAACTTCCTACTTCCGATGCCCTTTCCAAAGGGCGTCGCAATCAATCTGGCATTAGAAATCAAAGTCGGTGCTTATGATGTAGACATTTTCAATACCGATATCTCCTTCGAGCTAGACGACCCTTCAGGAAATTTGGAGATAACGCCCCAAGACGTTGTCGTAACTCCAGGAGAAAAAAACCAGTATTTAATAGTCATCAGATCGGCAAAGCTTCTGAATCTGCAAAACTCTTACTCCTTCAAAATTATTGCAAAGGTAAAATTCTGAGTTACCATACTTTTTCAATGGTTTAAAAAACTCATGAAATTATTTTAGGATAATGAAGGCGCGGAAACAAGGACTGCTGAGGCAACAGTAACAATCACAGTTGATCAAGCTAACACCACCCCAATCACATTCGGATTCAAACAAAACTTCTACACCGCTAAAGATGACAATCCAACAGTAATTTTCCACTAAGATTTGGCAAACAATAAAAATTTAAAATATTTTTTTCATTTAGGAAAACGGACCAATTGTTCCCAACGAACCAATTGAACTAATCGACGTTTTGACTGGTGATGTTGTTGTAACATTGGCACCTGCATCAGGAGATTGTGAGTAATTTGTATAGAAGCAAAAGAATAATTATTTATAATACAAAAATTCAGTGCCGTCATTTGAAAGCAAGTTTGAGGGCAAATATGAAGGAAATGGCATTGTGACGATTTCACAGATTGAAGCTTTTACTGAAAGTGATGTCATCCCACCCAGTATTGGACTTGAAATTCAAGTAAGATTGTGGTTTTGGTTCTAATTAATATTATTATAGTATTTAAATCATAATATGTTAAATTTAAAAAAAAAAATATCAGTGTACTATTTTAATTTTTAAACCAATTTTCACTTGCATAATCAGTCATTTTTTCCCTTCTAAACTCTACAATGTTGATGAAAAACAATATTTTTAAAATTACATAATTATATCCATTAGGAAGGCTCTTTGTTTATTTTATTGTTATCAGAACATCGATGAAAATTTCAAATTTTTTTCATGCGTTAGATAAATTAACAGCAACGTATTGGAAGGCAAAAATGAAAAAAAAATCCTAATACGACAAGCTAGAATATATAAATAATTCTTGTTGCAAGAATAATTGTTTGATAATTGACTATTTCAAAACAGGATGAGTTTTAAATAGCTGCTTCATAATTTTAAATCAACATATATAATATTGAACAATAATTTGACGATTTGTAACGCTCTGTTACGTTTCTTTAATTCTTATGAAAATAATAAAATTTAACTATAACTACCATAAAGGTCCAAAATATTTTGCTAAAAAATTGTGCTCCCCTCGCAAAAAGATTGCCCTAAAGCCAGCAAAATTTCCAGGTCAGTGAAGCAACAAGCGGCTTCTTGGCAAAGACTGTGCTGCTCATATCACTGCCTGTCAATGAATGTCCTAATTGTCCCACCACATGTCCGACGTGTAGCCCAAGCACGACGTGTCCAACCTTCCCCACCTGTCCGCCGTGCAACACGCCCTTCCCAACGGAGCCGTCCTCGTGTCCCACGTGCGCACCCTGCACCAGCACCACCCCCAAGCCACCGGCAAGCATCGAGTTCGAGGTGGACAGCTACGCGACCACGAAGGAACCCTTCTACACCGGCGTCCTCTTCCAGGTCAAGGCCAACGTTCTGGACGGCTCGGACAGCGACATCGAGTACGGCGTCGACGCCAAAGAAGGTCAGTTTTTAATTTAATTGTTTTAATTGAATATTTATATATAATGAAGTTTTCTGATCAGTCTTTGATCATTTACCGCACTGGCATTAAAAAGTAAAAGAGAAAAACCCATAAATATAATTTCATACGACGCTCTTCAAAAATGTTTGGTGGATTTTGTAAAATTCAGAATTACTTAAAATACAAGCAAATTTAAATGAAATTTTAAGAACGTAGTAATACATTAAGAATGGTCAACCCACCTTGGCGTTGGCGACGCTTGACACAAAGGTAATCCGCGTACGTCAGAGAGAGCACTGTTTATAGAGCAGCCACTGAAAGACTGATCGCACTTTGTCCGTCTCTGTGGCACTCGCGTTTTATTTATTTTTTGCACACAACTATACCGGCTCATATTTTTGGTTTGTTGTTTATTCAACCCCTCGTTTGTGCAAGTGGGAGCCGCGAGGGGAGGGGAATAAATAAATCTAGTCCTGGCTAGGAGAAGTTAGGCTGCCCGCCCTGCAAGAAAGAACGACAGGTTGCCAACGCCAAGGTCTGCAGGCGCCAAAAGATTTTGTTTATTATTGTTTTTCATTTTTCCGGATTGTAAAATAGATTCAAATTGAAGGAAAAACACTTACTGAGGGGTGAAAATTTTACTTCTGAAATATTTGAATGAGGCTCTTGAATTTTATAGGTTATAATTTTATTTTATAATAAATTTGATCAAATATCTTGTCAAAAGTGCGGTTAATTAAGTAAATATTTTTATGATTTAAAAACATATTTAATGTTTCATATTTTTAGCAAGCAATTCTTGCAAGAATTTATTATCAAAAGAGAAGTCTAGATTTTCAATTTTGTTAAGATAAATCTCAGTGAAACCGTCACTGATAATTAGCTGTTATGGTGAAAGTCAATTAAAATGTAATAGATTTTGAACTTTAAGAGATTTTTTTTTGCTAATTTAATTTACTTAACTTTGCTTGCAGAAATGGTCGGTAGACTGGAAATGGACAAGGTCACTGGCGAGCTCAGCCTGACTAGGAATGCAGCGCCTGGCACCTATAAATTCGAAGTGACGGCACTCCACGTGATTTCCACTGAAGTGGCCCGCGTGCCCGCTTACCTGGCCATTACAAGTGTAGGTGAATGTTCGGATGGCACCACCTGTTTCAAATACGCTCTTGTCACCACCGATGTTATTGAGGCGACGGAGGTGGACGACCTCATTCCTGGATCGGCACCCTCTGGAGATAACTGCGCGTAAGTCATCTTTCATTTCAATTCTCAATAAATATGATAAAAATTAAAATTGGGATTTTATAACACTTTTCAACACAATTTAGGAAATTTTTTATACTGTAAAACTTAATTTAATTTTAAGATCAACTCATTCTTTCTTTTCACAAATCGTAGCCACCTTATATTTTAATAGAATTGTTTATTTCTGAAAATATGGATTAAAAAATTATAATTTTATTTTTAGCGAATGTAGATTTCTAATGAATGTTAAAATTTTGGAATATAAATCAATATTTCAAAGCAATGTATTGATTTCTCAGTTTCAGAATTACAAAACACAGAAATATATATACAAAGATAATATCATATTGGGAAGGAAAATTGTCACGTATTTTCAACAAATTCCATTTTTTTTAAGGTTTTTGCCAAATTTTTAGGCCTTTGATCCTCATTAAATTATTGTTTTAAATTATTAAGTGAAAATTTGATTATTTCTTTTGCATAAATTTAATTCATCTTAATTATATAGGTTCCGTATTGACGACCGAACACCAGAATTCGACGGTTGGTTCGAAATTGACGCGGCCACGGGCGCTTTGAAGGCCCTTGCGGCGACCAACGTTGAGGACGCCGCCTTCATCGGTGTTGAAACGCCACAGGTCATGCTGCGTTTGCGGGTCACGTGTGGTCTGACCAAGGAAAACAAAGACACGGTCAATGCATCGCTGAGCCACCGTCTGCAGGAAGGCGTCACCAAAGAGGAGATGCTGGTCGTCGTCAATTTGCTCAATAAAAACGAACACGCGCCTCAATTCGCGAGCGAAACTCTGACTGTTGGGTACCCCAGCAAGGCGTTCGCACGCCAAATATTCCCAGGATCAATCGTGCAAGTCAAGGTAACAAGTTTTAATTATTTCGAGGATATTGATTATCAATAATTTTTGCTTCAGGCTACCGATGCAGACAAGGGAGACGAGGATAACATCAGATATAGCCTGGAATTTGTTACCGAACAATTCACGATAGACGAAGTCACTGGTGAGGTGTTCCCCATTGATGGAAAATTTGATTACCAGAACGTTGAAATTAACCTCCTCGCGCGAGATAATTTGGGTGAAGCTCCGTATTTCCAAGGACGACTTAAACTTCGGGTAATTATCATTGGCTTGTTTTCTTCTCTCTAAATTTTTTTAATAATTCAAAACTTAGCTTGATATATCTGGTGCTTGCGATTCACATTAAATAATACAAAATAAACTACTTTCCTTTTTTCAAATATACTAATTAGCAACTGTTTGAAGTAAAAGTTTCATAATTGCCAATAACTGCGCACAGATCAAAACATTTATTGATATACCAATCTTACCAATTTTTATTAGATGAACTTGATCGATTCCAAAATCTTTAAATTTTTGAATTTATTAGACAGTAAAAAAATCACACTAAACAAATTTTTTAGTTGCAAATTGTGTTTATTGATATATCACAAAGGCAATTGCTGCCCATAACGGGATACATCATTCATACATTCAAAATTATACAAATTTTAAGTTGAAATCAATGAAAAAAATACCAAATAAAATAAATAAATATTTTCATTTTCAAATATTTGAAATTTTTTAATTAATGGTTACCAATAAATTAATTATGATAGGGAAAAAACAAAAATAAATTACTTCCATTATATAAAGGGTCTAAATCAACTTTGTTTTCATTTTTTTTTTTCAGATCCAAATGGTAGGAGAGGGTGAAGTGGCTGTCACGGTCATCGATGGAACATCGATCGATGAGGCGGAATCGATCATCGCCGAACTGAACGCGAAACTCGACACCCACATTTGGGGTTCCCTGAGAACCTCGTACGTCGCTGGCGACAATGACGCGAAAGTGGAAAGTACTGCCCTGACGAGCAGCAGGGCTCTTGGCGGTGGCCTCACCATGGTCCTCTACGCCTTGGACAAAAATTCCTTGACCGTCGCACCGCACGCCGTGATAAAACAGTATATTTTTTTTATTGATTTTTTTTTAATTTAAAAATCATAATTAATAAAGAAAAGAAATTTTATTAAAATAATTTAAATGTGCAAAAAAGTTTTCGTCTTATTTGAATTATTTTAGATTGCTGCAAAACTACAATCCAGCCTCTGGATGGTCGATTTCTGGAATAGACACTTGGCAGGAAGCCGGCGGATGGTCACAGGGCAACCCTTCTGCCGACGAAGGATTGACCATCGCTGTAATTGTTCTTAGCGTCATTGTTGCGCTCCTCATTATCGCCATCATTGCTGTTGTCTATGTAGTTGTTTTCAGGTAATATTTTTCACTTCAAGTTCTGTGGACTTGTGTTAAATTACATAAATTATAATAATTACAGAAGAAGCAAACTTGATAAAATGCGAGCTAAGGTTGGAGTGAAAAACAGAACCAGTTTCTCCAAACATAGGTAATTAAAAATACAGGAGTTGAGCGATCTTATCTCAATAGATAAAAATAATCCAATCTTTACCTTTGATATTCTTGAAGTTGAAATAGAGTTTCAAACAATTGTGTGTACACAATTCTTGAAAATTCTATTTTACTATTTTCTTGATAACCGAAAACAAGAAAGTAGGTTTTAAACTAAAACGATAGTAATAATAAACTTAATTAAAATTTAATTTTTACTCTCCTTCCTTCTGTAATTTTTGCAAAAAGATAACAACAATTTTAAAACTTTCTAACGCAAAATTAAAATTTATGGAATGAAATACAGCAGTTTTTAAATGAACACTTTAAAAAAATCTATTGCTTTGTGATTTTTCAATAAATTTAATAAATATCAATATATCATTGAAATATAAAACACATAGAATAAAATTGAGGAATTACTTGGTTTTATACTCATTAAATTGTTTATTGTTTTTTTGGTTGGATGGATAGAAAAAGTTTAGTGAACAAAGTTCAAATAAAAAGTAGGGGAAAAATGATTGGAAAATTAATATACTGATCGATATACTGATTCGATCTATGGACAATTTTTTTAAGGCGAATTGAAATCGCTTTATAATCAATAAAATCAGTTGACGGCGGATAAATTCGCGTTGAAGCGCATGTGCTGGGAGTAGGTAAAGGAGCACCCGTTGCTCACTGATTCATGAGCGCGTCAGCGGCTGGGTGGGTTGGGTGCGCTGTGACGAGCCGGCGTTCGCCATTGAGCTCCAAAGTATCAGGCGCTCATGATGCTCCAGGAGATTGTCGGCGAAAATTAATCCTACGTCTAGAAGTTTCTCATCCCAGATAAAATAGAAATATAAAAGTTTAAAGTTAAAGCAGAGATTACTTTTTATCACAATTATAATTTCAATCTTAAAAACGTTTTATTGATAGTTAAACAAAAAAGCAACGAGAATTTAATGTAAGCTGCATAATTTAATGATCCCTAATTTAACCGTCGTGAGGCAATTTTTTTCAATTACTGTATTAATTACAGGGAGAGCCTCGCTGTGGAGGCGGCAAAGAGAACGCACGTGAATGGGCTCGATTTTCCGCACAAGCCAGAGGAGGAAATGGAAGAGAGAAAGAAATCTACTGTCAAGTTCAATGATGAGCCAGAAGTGATTCCCAGTAATGAATCTGTCAGACTCTGAGAGGTGCAAGCGGAAATAATACCTTATATGAATAATTCACTTTTTTATTTAATTATTTATTAAGAACGGTGTTTAAATTTAAACTGATATTAGATGAAGATGTTGAAATACAATGTAACCATACGTCAAAATAAAATTATTTTATTTATACTGCTGCAAATTTTTCTTAAGAGATGACCATCGTATTTAAGATCAATTTAAAATTTTAAAAATTTAAATTTTAAAATGAGAATAAAAAATAAAATAATTTTAATTTTGAATATTTCTTAGGTTAGCAAAAATTTAGTTTATATAGATTTCTTGTTTAAATAAAATATATTAATATAAAATCAAAATTCTGACGGAGGAGTAAAAAAATGATGTATTCTTTCAAACCAAATATTATTCTTTCTACTTTTAAAATAAAATAAACAAACTGCATTATGTAAATTACAAACCTTTTAATTATTTACTTAAAATAAGGTCATATATTCTTACAAAGTGCAGGTTTTAAAACGTTTTACTTCAACTTGATCAGGTATGATTTTGCTGTTTAATTTGATTATTTAATAAAATACAATTATTTGATAAAATAATTTTCAATTAATTTGAACCACAAAAAATCCTTTTCCTTTTCTCCTTGGGCTAAATTTATAATCGGAAATAGACAAAGAAAAAGCCAAACAAGGGCGGAAACCAATTAGTTTCCCACTTTTGCACTTTGCCACTTTTGGCGGAGGCCGATAAGATGCCTTGAAGTTCAGGGGTGCGAAGCAATGAACTTGAAAAACGCCTCTGCAAAGGGGAGAAGCTCGGAAGTTTTTGGGCTTTTTTTACGAGCGGGTGCCAGCCGCGTACATTGGCACTCGGAGTCTATTTTGGTGCATAGCAATTGCCGCTGTGCTCAAAGGGCGATGGAAATGTGAAAGAAGCACTGCACGGCGGATGTTGCCAGATAAAAAAAGCTAGGATGCATCCTCTATGGGGAGTGCATTCGGATCCGAACGAGGACCAGTCGTCTTATCGGGCGCGAGCAGCTCGTACCTTTTGGAGGCCAGCTGCTCCATCCATCCTACGAGAAGAAGTGGTGGGCGCCTGCTTTTTTGAGCACCCACGGTACACCGTGCGTTATCATCGCAAGGTCATTCTCGAACGCGCGTCAATTTTCGGCCGCTAGCTGCCTGTTTTGCATGTGCGTCTAACCAGAGAGGATGGAGCGGATAGACAAGTCCATCGACGGCCTCCATAGGGCCTCTATTTGGGGCTTTCAGGTAAGTTTCAATAACTATTTGAAAGCTAATGGGAATAATTTAAAGATAATAATATAATTTTTTCATTCTATTTCTTCAAATTATTGTAATTTTAATTTTTGTTTTTAGAGTTTCAAATGAATTTATATGTCCTTAATTGCTATTTTATATTGGAATACAAATTGTATTTTTTCAAATATATGGTTCAAAATTAAAAATCCATTAAAAATAACTAGTTTTACTTTATTTTATATTTAAATGTCCAGCAACAAATATGCATGAAAAAAATAGTTTTTTTTTTAATAAAAATTCGAGTGATAATGTAAAGTCTTCATCAAAAGAATTGTTCCTGAACATTGATAAAATATTAAATATATTTGTTAAATTATTATTATTTAACATCAAATTCTTCATAAAAATTGTAATGTCCTAAATGTGTCTTGGTTTATGATCAACAACTTCTACCTCTCATTCACTCTCATTACTCATTATCTATTACCTAACTTTTTACAAATACTTTTATACTATGTTTTGCAAAACATTTCGGTGGTTTTTTGTAGTTCATAAATTTACTGTTTTAAATAACAAAAATTTAAATTATAAATCAATTATTTAAGGAACACTAACCGGAAACCAAAATTGTTTGTGGTCCTTATTTCTCATTTTTTGGGAAAATTTTCCTTTGTAGGCTGGAATTGTGGCGTACGTGTTGACCACCGTGACCGGTTTTCTGCGAATTACTTCGATCTGCCCGTGTTTGGCGTTCGTGTTATTCTTCCTGATCGGAACAGCCGTTGCAGCACTCATCGCCACACTTGAGGTGACACACGAAAAAAAACTCCACTAGCTCGCAAACCCTTTCACTGCTTTCACCCGGTCCTGTGCACACGAAGTGGTGCTTGTCCCCTGGCCTAAAGCGCGAATAATGTCCCAACACGAGAGAGAACAAACTTTGCGCTACTCTCCAGTTCACAGAGTACGGACAGCCTTGAATTTGCATCCAGCTCTCACTCAGCGCACGTTTTTACATAGAGATCAATGTGTGAGAGAATCTGATGCTGAGAGAGGCAATATAAATTTTATAATAACTCCGCGAACTTGCATAAGAACCTACAATAAAAAAATAAATGAAATTTTACGATTTTAACCTATTTTTATATAGTTATGGTAATACTAGTTAATACTTTTCGTTTCCTAAATATTGACGTGAGAAAAAAAATTAAGCTTTTCAACGCCCCTCAAATCATCTTAGAATTTCAATTAAAATTATAGGGATCGAAGCAGGTTTTTATTAACAGAAGCCTCTCCTTAGTCCATGATTAAAACTTACATTTTGTGATTTTGTAAGGGAACAAAAAATGGAATGTAAAAAGTTTAATTTAAAAATAGATACACAATAAATTAAATAAGTTAAAAAAAATTGTAGATACAAATTAAAACGTGAAGGTAACAGTAATTTTTTTTTATCAATTTTGTTGGAATATAAATGAATTCAATGCGCAATCCTAGCATCCTTGACAAATTAAAAAAAAACCCCAATCGAATTTGCTAGCAAATAATTTCTTTTTTATAATCTTGTATTTGTAACTTTTTAGATAAAACCAGAGGGTAAAGCTGTTCTTGTGACCGGTTGCGATTCTGGATTTGGCTACCACCTTGCTCTGAGGTTGCAAAAATTGGTTAGTGTGCACGGAACGGTGAGATTAACCCGAAAATAATCTTTTGGTGTCAAGGGATTTGTGGTGTTCGCCGCGTGCCTCAACAAAAATGGCGAAGGAGCGAAAAAGCTGTTAAAGGAGTCTGAAGACAAAGTGATCCCGGTGCAGATGAACGTGATTTCCGACGATGAAATCGAAACAGCCTTTGACGAGATTTCTGAAGAACTCGGCAAAAGGAAAATTAACGGTGCGTCATGTAATTTTAAGCAACAGTGAAAAGAGAAAAAAAAGTATTTGTCAGGACTGAAATCAGTCACAGCAAGCTGAAATAAATTAATAATGATAATGATAAAATAAATACAATATTTTAATTCTGTAGCAAGGTGAGCGATTAATTGTTACAAATAATTGACTTAAAATTCTAAAAAAAGTTCTAATTAAGTTATTAATGGACAGATCAAACTAACTAGGATAAATTTCAACATTTATCTTGTTCTTTGTCTTATAGGTCTGTGGGGATTGGTGAACAACGCAGGTCTGAGCACCTTTGGCCACATCGAATGGATATCCGAGAACGACTCGCGCAAAGTAGTGGAGGTGAACACCTGGGGAGTCGTCAAAGTGACCAGGGCGTTTCTGCCTTTGATCAGGAAAGCATCTGGTCGGTTTGTGTGATTTGATTAAGAACTTTTTGTTTGAGCATTGCGTTGCTGCAGGTCGCGTGGTAAATGTGACCAGCGCCCTCGGACGCTTCTCCGCGATCGGCCGCTCCAGCTACGGAATGACAAAGCACGCCATCGAGGCCTTCTCCGACGTGCTGCGTTTTGAAATCAGGCGCTTTGGGGTCAGCGTCAGCATTGTCGAGCCAGGAAATTTCATTGCAGGTATGAAAACTTTGTTCATTGGAAAATTGTTAAAAAATTAATATTTCACCAATGATAAAATATACTAAAATATTTTTTTTTTTAAATTTCATGAAACAGAAAAATTTATCTCATTTTATGAGAAAAAGTTTTTTTAACATTCTAAACAATTTTATATTCGATTTTGAGTCTCGTAGGTCTACCAATTTTTTTCCAATAAAATATATTGCATAAAATGTGCAGAAAAAAAAAACAAAGTTGTCTCTGCATCCAATAAAAAATATTTTTTTAGCTTTTCGTTATCATCCCTCCTCAAGAAAAATTACTTTTACCCCAAATAATTAGATGCCGCATAGAGAAAAATGAAGACTTTTAATTGCATTGAATCATTGTCCATTCAAAACGGTACATTTGAAATAAAAAGTGATTATTTGAAATTTCAATTCAATAGCAACCAGTCTCTACTCTATGGATGCTGTCAAGGATCACGCTAGCAGAATGTGGAACGGAATGAGTGACGAACTGAAGAACGCCTACGGAGAGGACTACTTTAACCGGGTCTTCGAAAACATGGTCAACTACACAACCAAAGGGGTACTTTAGCTAAAATATAATTAACGAGCTTTTTAAAATGAGTATCTTTTAGCCCACCGACCTCGAACCTGCTTTGGTTTGTTTGACTCAACCCCTGGTACAGACTTTTCCTGCTCCCAGGTATCAGCCAATGGAACTTGACTGGAAAATCAGGTGTCTGGTCCAAACACACCTACCGGAGTGGATCTACGAGCGACTGTACATCCAGTGAGAGGAATTAACAATTTATCTAGAACAAACGTCAAAAGATTGCGGACTGACTTCAAAACGTGTAGGAGAGAAAAAAACATAGTGCCATTATAATTAAAATTGCTCGGCAGCTATTTGCACTGGCGACTTTTATTAATTAATGAAATAATCCAATTTAACATTATTTGTATCAAAGTAGAAAATTTAGCCTCTTTATTATACTTTAAATTTAATACAATCGACTCGCACACAAAAAAAGAAATAATTGGTTTTAAGTAATAATGCATCCTTTCTACTACAAAATATAGTGCTCTAAATAATTTAAAATTAGCATTTAAATATTTCCTTTAGTTTTGAATTTATCATTAATGGTCAAAGTCAGTCTCAACTTTGGTCCCACGGGAGGCACAATGGTTTTTAGCAGAAGTTAAAACTGGATAAATCAACAATGAATATTCGGAGATCTTTTGGAGGCAAAAATATATAAATGCGGGAAGTCAGTTTCCTGAGTGAATATCATAAGTTATCTTGGTCGATGGCGAAGGATTGGTTGAGGTCAAGCAGTTCCTCAGGTTCGCCTTTGTCCGATGCCAAACTGCTGAGCAGTTGGTGGCACTTGTCCACGTACTTGTACGGCAGCAGAGAGGGCCACTTGGTGCCCACCACCACCAGGAACACCTCGACGGCCGTTCGGCCCTGTGGGGTGATGCCCAAACCACCCTCGACAAGTTCTCGGATCATCAACCAAAATTTTTCGGGGGTGATGAGGGAGCTGTGCTGAAACTCGTTGATCAGAAACTCAGCAAAATACGGCAGACCAGAGTCTCCTGAGTCGGCGCCAAGCAGGGTATTGAAGACAGCCTTGACGAAGGACTTGTCCAGGGTGTGGATCTGGACGGCGTTACGTGGGAAAATGGCGTAGTGGGCGTTGTACAATTCCTCGATATTTGACTTGAGTTCATTCTTTGCCACGGTGTCTCTCTCGATGAGCATTTCCAGTTTTGAGGCCTTTGCCGGAGCGTCCAGAATTGCAGCCAGGAGGTTGGGCACGGTGACCTCGAGCAGGTCTTTGGCCACAGTGCCCTCTCGCTTGCCTTTCTTGATGAGCACCCCGTTCACAAAGAGGCCACTCGCGGTGCAAATGAGACTCGAGACCAAATAGGTGGCCGCTGGGGTGGAAAGAATTTTTTGGCAGAAATTGACCACTTTGGTTGTGAGTTCTTTGGACATTGGGCTTTTGTGGGCGGCGATGGCAATGCATCGAAGGACAACCGAAAGAAGTTGGGTGACAAGAGGAGCTGACCGTCGACCAACCAGGAAGGAAGAAAGCTCGGCTTCCGAAGTCCGAGGCAAGATGATCTTTTCGGTCCAAGTCAGGACGCTCCCAAATTCGGAGTTTGGGTTGAAGTTTGTTTCTTTGGTGGAGGGGATGAGGTTGATCAAGGCAACATACCTTTTGAAGCTGCTGACGATGAGGTTGTCAGGCATGGAGGGTACGGGTGTCTGCGTTGTGAGGCGTTGGTCGATGACTTTTTTCACACCTTCGGCGGCCTTGAGCAAAGTCAGCAGAGCCGTCGGTGATTTCTCAACGATGACTGCATGTGCCACTGGGTGTGTGATCACCTTTTCCAGAATGAGCAATCCTGCTGACGCTTTGCTCTCAATATCAGGATCCACCTCAACTTGCTTTTTGGCCTAAAGATTATTGTTTTAATTAATGTTTATTTTTCGTCAATTTAGAATTTATACTTTTGATTTGCTCTTGGAGATTGCCGTTTTGATGCACTCAGCGAGCCATTCACCAGTCATTTCGAGCAAAATGTCAGCCGAGTCCCAGTTGCAAACGCCTGTGGCAAGCATTTTGATTTCTTGGTCAGGGATACCTCCATTCTGTAAGCCAGTCAATAATTAATAATTTAAGTAATTTATAATTTATAAATTTTACATTTGTTATCAAGAGCTTGATTCTGTTGATGCAGAAATTCAGCAGCCTTTTCATGCCTTTGGAGGGCAGCATACTTCCAATGTGAAGGATCGGACCCAAAACTTGGATATTGTCCTGAATAAATTATGACCCATTGATGAAACAAAATTAATTTAAAATAAATTAAGCAATACCTTCCACTCCCTAAAAATGAACTCAAGTGACTGCTGAACAGTGCTCTCAAACTTTAACAGGGCTTCAGTGTGACTCTTTTCATTCAGAGTCTTTGCATGCTTCACCCACAAAATCATCACAACGTCAAGTAAGCCAGCAACAATTGCTGGGTTTTTCAAACTCTCAGCCACTGGCTCCAGTTGCTTGTCTTGAGACTTGCTCTCTTCCTGCTCTTTATTTCCCCCGAAATTCTCCAAATCTTCACTCGTCTCTTCAGCAGATTCTAGCATGGCTCCTTTTCTCTTACGGCCTGTTTTGAAAAAGGACAATATAAAAAAGAGCCCAGACAAAAATATTCTTTATACTTTTTGCTACAGGTTTTTCTGTATTTTCCTTCTTTTTTGGTTTTCCTTTTTTGTCAAAATCTCTGAAGTGTGCCCCAAGTCTTCCCATCACTTTTGTCATAAAAACTATAGCTTTTTCTGTTGGAAGCACCGGCCTTAAAATTTTTAAATTATATCTCATACAATGAAAATGAAAATCAATCCTACAGTGAGTTTTCATAGAAGTTTCTGGCCAGTTGTTGACCTTGTTTGATGAGCCAGATGACTCGGTTGATGACTGAACTCTCTTTTGCAGCCTCTTCAGGATGAATACTTTTGAATGCCAGCTCCACTTCAATTCTGAGGTTGGAGGAAGTGGCTTCCTCGGTTGACATGACTTCAATAAGTTCTCGTAAAGACACAATATCCCAGCATCTCGAGACTCTTGCTCGATCGTCTGACCTTCAAGACAATTTTTTTTTTTATTTGTGAGACATTATTTCTTTAAATAAATTTAACTTACTGCTCATTTGCTAAAGCTTTGGGGTGTCGGAATTCCTGCAAAGCTTGGAGAACTTGCAGCATAGCCTTTCTGACTTGCTTGTTTTCGTCATAGATGGAAGGCTTCAGAAACTTAAAGAATTTTGACATGAAAAGGCACATGTGGTAGTTGTCATCATTAATGAAGCTTCTTATGGTGATCAAAGCCTCTCTACGGATCTGAAATTAAATTTTTAAGATTTAACTTGTAAAATAAAACTTTTAACTAACATCAGAGCTGGACTTGTCAAAGGCGAGTTTGTTGAAAATAGCATTGCAAACAGCCACTCTGAAAGGTCTCGGCATGACAGTCCATGTATCTGCCAATATGTACCTCACTTTCTGCATTAAAACAAAAAAATAAATTAATATATAAAATATAATTTCCAACATTCCCTTTACCTTAACTGATATAAGACGGACTACATGATTGGGATCTTCTAGTGACATTAGAATGAACTCATTCTGCTTGTTGTTTAGCATTTCTTGTTCCACTCTGTTGAAATTTGGTGGTTCAATGGGGTACATCATGTAAAGTAAAGTGATGGACGTTGCTCTTTGGAGAGGATTGGCAGACTGTTGTGAAATAAAATGATAAGTTTTCCTGCAGGCAACACCTACATGAATACTAACTGATAAATTGCGCCACAACAGGGGCTCAAAAGCATCAAGCAGCACTTTGAATCCAACTGGGTTGGAGGCTGTGCTGAAGTAGAGCTCCTCCAAAAAAGTCTCCAGCAAAAGTCCGTGAGGCTTCATCTTTTGAGCTTTCAGGTCCCAGTGAACATTTATATATTTCTGTATAAAATCTTGGATGCATTTGTTTTTGAGAATCTAAATTGGAAATAAAAAAAAATCAAGCACAAATATAAGGCTGATCAAACTTACGTCTTGTAGTTCAGGTGAGGCTTTGTTGAGTGTGAGTCCATAAACCTGGCCATAAACTTTTGCTTCAGCCTTAGTTTGGTTGATCATTGCTTTTTTTACATGAGAGTGAAACAACTGTAAAAATATTGATGAGCTAGAAATACTAAAAAAAAATGGCATTATGTCATACTTCTGTATATTTTGCACTGAGGGTGAAGAATCTAGAGAGAAGACCAACACTGCTACTATCCGAGAGGACGATCTTGCTGGTGAGGCACATAGCCATGCTTGGGATGATCCCAGGAATGAAGGGTGCGGTTGGACCAACAACCTCTTTGTACAAAACAAGTCTTTTGACATCAGCCTTTTTGCTGTTGTTGTTAACAACCGTGGCAAGCATGTACTGGAAACATTGCGCTCCCAAAACTTCATAGCCAGTCCACCTTTTCCTCCAAATTATCTCACAAATTTGAATAGCCTAATAACAGAAGAAAATATCAGCTCTGCTGAAATAATATCAAATTTATTTTTTTACTTTTTGACCACAGAGATTTGTTGAGAGCATGAAATTTAGGACATCTACGACAGTTCTAGTATTTGTCGGTTCTTTGTCTCTAATGTGGGCCAAGTAGTGCTTCATGCAGCTCAGGACAATACTGGCTTTATCACTAGGGTTTTCAGGAAGGTGGAGCACAACCTGGAAGAAAATAAATTTTTTTAAGTGAGGAAATGTTTAGGAAATTTAAAATCTGTACATTTTCTTTGGAATCTTCTTCAGACGAAGTATTGTTGATTTTCCGTCTCTTCCCGTGTCTTCTTGGAGGGTCCTCCAGTTCTACCTCTCCATTTTCTCTGATGAAACCGTTGACGCGAACTTCAGGTACTGAGGCAGGACGTGGCACAATTGCGTGAGAGTGCTCAGCAGGAGAAAGCGAGAAAAGAGCTTCGCAGATGTAATTCCACAGCGCTTTTTTCTTCGGAAGCCCCAAAGACCCAAGCAGCTCTTGCGCAACAGCATCCTGTATCAGTTTTTAATTAATTGCAAGTAATATTTGAGCGAAATTCGTTAATTACGCTGGTGAAGCTGTTGTAGATTTTAACCAGGTCGCGTTTGTCCACCCAAGAGGAGAATGTCCTGGGCGTTAGTTTAACACTCTCCTTCTTGCTCATCCTTGAGGTGATGCTAGAAAGCCTCCGTAATCAAAATTTCAAACATTTCGGGTATCAGTTCTCCAGCGCAATTCTCGATAAAGTAGCTGAAATTTGGCGCAATCTGCAAATTTGCCCTACACGGTGAAAATTGCGCGCGTAATGGGAGCATTGGCCTTGTGTTTACGAATGAACTTCAGTGATGCCAACACAAGTTTTGAAGGGTTCGCTAAAGTTAAATATACGAAGTTTAGGTTATTAGTTGGTACGACTGATATACATGTAAATAAACAAGCGTGCTCATGCGAATAATGGATTAACACTAACTTTTCTTGGAAATTTTTTTAATTGCACTTTTCAAAGGACGGAAATTTACTGGGATTAATTAATATGAATTAACTTTATTACTGGTAGTTCGATTGAATTTCAAATTTGCAGGTAAATTTTTACGTATTTTACATCCCACATGGGCAGAGATTATGTTTATGTCAAAACATCTGTGAAGTTCACAGAATTTAATTTTCCAATGTTGAAATCGAAAAATATGTATATTGATCATTCTGAATTTCTAGGTTTTCTTCCGCTGCCAAAAATGACCAGTAAGATTGAGGTTCTTTGTCGACAAGCAATGAAGACTTTCTCCAGAGGAAGCAAGCGTTTCTCGGGAGGAACTTTCGAAGAAAACCTGAAGCTATTGAAGAACTACGCGAACAAAATCACAGCCTTGGATGTGTGTCTAGAGGAGTCGCTTACCTCTGTTCGCACTTCAAGCAAGGCCAGCGTTACTTATATCCGTATATATGAAGACTTTGATGTGTCCATAGGGATATTCGTGCTGAAGCCTCAGGCCAGTCTGCCTTTGCACAACCACCCAAATATGCATGGCATCCTCAAGGTCATCAAAGGCCGAGTGGAAGTCCAAAGTTACACCCCGCTAGAATTGCACCACTGGGACTCATATTTAATGTTTGCCGAAAAGCATGAACCCTTGTCTGTTGACGTGGGTAGCGACGTTTGCACTTTGGAGGAACGAAGACAAAATTTGCATGAGATTAAGCACGCCGAGGGCAGCTGTGCAGCCTTTTTGGACATTTTGGCCCCGCCTTACACGGATTTCCCCGATCAAGACGGAGACGAGCGAGATTGTTTTTACTACCAGACCTGTGAGGATCAGGAGCAGGAAGGACGTGTAATAACGAGACTGGTTAGAATTCCTGCACCCAAAAGCTACACTTGTGATTCCGCTCAGTATCTTGGGCCTCCGGTTGAGGATTAGTTTTAAAGCATGAAAAAATCATGACTGGATATATTACTTTTATAAATTTATTGTTGACTAGTCTTTTTAATAACTTATGCCACAATTAAACTTTTCTGTATATAATGTGCAGTTAAGAAAGTATTTAATAAAAAACCTTTAGCTCCAATGTACCAATACTTTAATTTCACAGTACAACAAAGGTATCTCATTTCAGTATGTTGATTCAGTACATAGTGGTCTATACAAATTATACAATAACTTACAGTTATGATAACAGATGCCATCTCTTATATTCACAGCAATTTGTTACACACTATTTATTTGACTTGAGAGGTCAAACTAGATGAGAAACACTTTGTCTTGGTAATTTATCAGAGCATCAAGTGCAATAGTAATTAACAATCTTTCAAACTCTATAACTCGAACATCTAAATAACAGTGAGACAGTGAGTTGTCTTGAATTGTTGTAATTCTATATAATAATATACTTATAAAAAATCTATAATAGCAACCAACATAAAATTCCTGCATCAATTCACTTGGAACAGAAACTGAATAGTAAATCACATAATTTAAGAGAATTCATTATAAATATCTCTTGTATTTGTAACAATCGCAGAATTTTACCATCACGAGGCAGACACGTTGAACGAACAATGACTAGGGCTCAAAATTGAGAATGTATTCTTTGAGAGGCACAGGAAGAGGCAGTTTATTGGCGTGCATGCCAGGACGCTGGCCCACGGCATTGTAAATCACCACTCGGCACATTTGCTTCAGGGAACGTGGCGAACTGTAGAGCTCTTTGATAAGTGTGCAGAGCCCACTCCTTACAGGCATCAGTCCGGCCTAAATAAATTGCCAAAATTAGCAAGAATTAAAAAAAGAATCAATCTAAGTAGACTCACTTGAGAATAAAGTGCTTGCGACATTAAAGCTCGTAAACAGGTGTACAGAGGTACGTGGTCCATCGACAGGTAGAAAAGTTTCAGTATACGAGCGTATCTTTGAGCGGGGTCCAAGAGAAGCTCGTCCCGTCTACACAGTGCTAAGACGTAATGGTGTAAAACACGACTAGATGCTCTTTTGAGGAACAATGATGCCTAAAAATTTAAATTGATTTATGAATAAAAAAAATCAACACATTTCTTAAATTTGAATGATAATAAATTAAATTTTAGTAAGCACCTGAGAGTGACAAATTTGTGGCTCTTGAGAGGAACTACTCCCGTTTTGTCCGCCACTGCCTATTGCTGCAGATAAGTCTATATTTGGATTTCCTCCATATTGAATAAGCGTCAGAGTCAAATCGTAAATATAGTCAAGATCTGTAGGGCTCCTGGCAGTTCCAGACATTTCAACCAAAGTCTGAAATAAAACAATAAGATTGTGCTTAAATAATTTCCAGTCACTAATTTACCTGCAGGACATATTGAGGTCTCTGTCCAACTCGCACATTTGGTTCCATTCCGTGCTGAAGGAGCAAAGTGAGCAGCCTTCGCACAAAATCAAAGTGCAGTGCCTTCATTTCTCCCTCTCTGTTGATCATCATGCTCTCCCCAGCAGTGAAAACAAGCACATGCATGGGTGTCAGGTTGGATCTGCTGGTGCAGTTGGGGTTGGCGCCGTTCATCAGCAGCAGCCGAACACAATTTAGGTAGCAAACTTTCATGTGGTGGGAGAAGCTGCGGAGGTGCTCTTTGTTGATAAGAGGCACCAGACACACCATGAGGGGCACCGAGCCATCCCGACCCGTGATTCCAGGGTCGCCACCAGCCTGCAGAAGCATGTCAAGCAGTTCGTAGCGGACGTCCCAGTCCTTGACGTGTCGAATCACGCAGGCAAGGGCCGAGTTGCCTGGCTGGTTAATGCTTGGACGAGCCCCGTGCTGGAGGAGATACCTGGTCAGATGCATGATGTCCCATTTGTTCCATTGAGGCTGTCGGTCGATTCCGCAGAACATTTCCTCCAGTGCATATCTAAAATATTCAAAGCAGGTTCAAAGTATTGATTGATATGTAACCAAAAAAGTGCTTGTTTTTAACAGAGATTTCTGGTAAACAAAATCAATTTTCTCCCTACAAAATATAACAATTTAATTGAAAAAGATTAAAAATTATATTTAATTAACCCAAAAAATGGAATATTGATCAATTATAATGTCCCTCCTTAAAATTATGAGGCAAATATAATAATTAGAATATAATGTGTGTATCTTTCTTCTTGTGATTTCATTTTTACCTCACTATGAGAGCATGAAGAGGAGTGTTTCCGAGTGAATCTGGAGCATTGATCACCTCTCGAGCCCCATGTTCTAAAAGTAACTGTACTGCCACAAGAGTATCAGCTGCGGGGCGCTTCCCTATCAATATCAAAACATGCAACGCCTGTAGAGAAACCATAAAAGTTACATCAAGTAAGATAAACAAGACTGTGCTACCCACCGTCATCTGCTGGGTAGGTGTTTGCACTGTGGTTTCGGCCCCGTGCGCCACAAGCAATTCAACAAAGTGCACATCGTGCTGGACAGCCTGATGAATGGGGAAGTACTCGTCGTAACACTGGTTGATCTCATCCGAGCGTTCGGCCACCAGGTAGCGGACACAATTCCAGGCACCTTTCTCGCAGGCAATGTGCAAAAGGGGTCTTTTTTGCTGCCATGGCAACAACCAGTGGTTTTCTCCTTGTTGAATGAGCAACTCGAGGATGTCAACCTGAATGTATTAGTTTGTGTTATTGTTTCATTTCAAAGGTAATGCAAATTGTATACCTGGTCTCCGTCGATAGCGTAATAAATTGCACTTTGAAGTTTATCATGAGATCTGTCACCCTGGGTTTCGTCTCGAACACCTTTTGAAAAATCAATCATTTTCTTCCCAAAAAAATATATTGAAAATTAAACTTACAGTGCTTGCCTCTCTGCTCACAGTTCAAGTGGTGTGGTCCTGGCCAGCACATTCGAGCCTCAACTTCTGGTTTTGCTCCGTACTTTAGCAAAAGTTCAACACATTCTTCGTGCCTTTAAAACAAATAAATCCAGGGTTGTTTGAAGTTTAAAATGTGACTCACCCTCTAAGACAGGCAATGTGCAAAGGGAGTGAGCAAACGCCGCCACCCCTATTCACATCGGTGTTTCTCGAGCAAATCCACTTCACCATCTCGATATTGTTGATCCCTACACATTTCTGCAGCAAGTTGTATCCCTCCTCGTTGTGCACCATCAGAATGTTTTCACTCTAAAATTTCATACGTTAAAGACAAATTATTTTCTTGAAAAAAAAAATCTATTTGGTTCATTATTTGCCTATATTTTTAATTATTAACAATTAAAAATTCAAACCTTTGGAAGTTTTTCTGCTTGAGTAATACCTTATCAGACAGAAATATTTTTAACTACCTTGGGAATTTGTGAGAGAATTCCATCAAGCCTTTGCACCGTCACTCTAGGGTTGGCGCTAAGTGCGTCAAAAACCGTTCGAACCTAGATGAAGTAAATAAAAACTTAAATGTTGAATTTTTCACAACTTGTTTAGCCTTACATGTTTCCTTGTGGTGTCAGAGACGCCCCTGAGGTTGCCAGTGGTGAGCAACGCGCTGCCCGACTGGAAGAAGTGGCTCAGGGCACCACCCATGATGAACTCAGGGATAAGTGCGCTCGGAATACTCGTCAACACATTTTCTCTGGAGAGGGCTGCAAAACACTAAAATTATTGAAAGGCCAGTGTTTGACTAGAGGGCAATCCAACAACAAAACAACCTTCCCGCACATTGTTTAAATCCCAAACCGATCGCGAGTTCAATTGACTTTTGTTGTCGAGCGGTCACGCACGTCATTCGAAGGAAATCAAAATTCTATTTCTGGTTTTTGACGGCTTATCTTGCCGGGATATTGTCGCACGTTGATAAATTCATGGTGCCGATCAATCTGTGTTTTAAACACAATTTTTTATGCGTTTGACGTCAGTAGCGCAGCAATACTCGCTAATAAGCGTGATAGACGCATTAAAAAATTTATCTCTGGATATTTTTGCAAAGCAAACATCCTGCGCTGCTCCTACGTTGTACAAAAACACAATTATTTAAAAAAAAAAAAGAATTCTGTTTTCATTATTTACATGACGGTTAAAATTTGCAATCGTCAACAAATGTGAATATAAAACAAAAATTAGATTTTAACATATTATATAGTTCTTCTGCAATGTTTCGAATGAATCAATTGTACGATAAATTTTATTTCTATGCCGATTTCCACAAACTAATTTCCAGAATTTTTATCTTACTGAAGATATTCTTTTTACATTAGCTTCCGTTATTTATTAAATTTACAATTTTTTTATTACAGTTTATAATTATGTACTCAAATACACTTGAAGTTTTCAATACAAGTTTTATATAAGGTCTAATTAAGCTTGCTCTTTAACCAAATCAAGGTAGATTAGACATGAAACTATAAAGTAGCGGAAAATAACACCGATTTTAAAAATAATCAGCCATATCAGTTTTTGTAGGGTTTGTTTATTTTTATATTTTTTCAATACTCGAAGTTGCAGTGGAAATTGTTAAATTCCCGTGGGAATATTAATAAATTTCTTCTTTTTATCAATATAAAGGAAGGTAATTGTCCTATTTGTACCTCTGCTGTTGACAAAATTCTTGGACTTGCGGAGCAACTTTTTGAAGGGCGAGCTGTTCTTGCGGAAGTTGCACGGCTGCAGGGTGTAGCACTCGCACACCTGGTTGAGGACCTGGTTGGTCTGCTGGCGTTCAGGGACCTCAAAGTTCCTGCAGCAGACAAAGGGCGCGTGCTGGCGGCCCTGCTGCTGCTTCTTGGTGCCCATCCTGCAAACGACTGAGTCCACTCGCGGAGGAGCTGCTCCACTTGCAGCTAATCCACTTAGCCCTTGTGGGGCGTCAGTCACACTTGACGCAACGAAACCGCCCCAAGTCGACTCACCCCTTGTTGCAAACGAATTATGCAAGTTTTATTTTTAGCGTGCGCCGTTTAGCACCCGCAATTGGATTGCGCGTTTATTTCTGAGCACACGCGGCGCCGTTTTGTTTGCGGCTGCCAATTTATTTTCTCAGTCGTTCGCTTGATTGATGGATGGATGGGCGGTCGAACAAGGTGGCCCTTTTGCGTGACTCTCGTCGCTCACGCACCTTGTCCGACCACGGCCAAAATAAGCGGATGTTTTCGTTTCAGAACGACAAACTACGACTTTACCGAATTTGATTTGCCAAGAAATTTAGCAAATGCGAGTGTTTAATTTGATTGCTTATTCCTAATTGCGATAATAGCTCGTTTAATACAACATCCTAGTATAGGAAACGGATTTCAAATAACAATTTTACTTTTAATCTCGACGATTTCAATGAGTTACAATATTTTTAGTATACAATATGGTTCTAATCAAAGAGATTTGTTGACTACAATTAGAACAAATAGAAATTTTACAAAATTATCTGAAATAATCATAAATATTCCTTATTATTTGTACTTTAAAAAGTTTCATGGGGCCATTTTTTTATGCACATATTAAAGAGATTTTGAAGATGTTTTTACAAAGAATTTATGTACAGTATTTTATGTTAAATATAAGAAAAAAATTATTGCACCAATCAGAGATTTTTTTTTTTTTTTTTTTTTTACAAAACTACCTTGATCAAATTTGGGAAAATTTAAAGTCATCGACAAATAAACCAAAACAGAGAACTTGAAAACCGAGAGAAGATGTAAAATAATTTTTCAGCGCAATAAATTGTAAAACCAATTTATTTAATCAAAACTCCGCACAAACATAGATCAAGTAAATCGCATGTGCTCTGATTGACCCACGAAAGTGTTCATCATTTTAATTTATAAAATATTATTCAATTAAATAATGTGGACTAACTTGTACAAGATATTGTGAGTTTGTAATAAAATTTACATATAACTGACATATAATTAAAGTAAATTTAAAAATTTCTCATTGCAAAAAAACATAAGAATTCAATTTACGAATAAATGTTATTCGAAAGTAAATTTTTTAATTTATTTTATTTATAATGTAATATGTTCATGTTTTATTCTTTTGAAAAATTTACAGATTTTGATAAAAAAATCAAATTTTATTTTAAAAATTATTATTAAAAAAAATTTCATAGTTATCATTTTTAACTCTCAAATTAAAAGAAATTAAATATAAAAAATCTCATTTTGGTTCACATAAGTTACAAATTATTTACATTGTACAAATTTAATATATTACAGTAAATTAGTATTGCGGTGAAAAAATAGCGATGTAAAAATGCAAACTATTCTAAAAATTACAAAAAGAAATTTCCCGAAGATTTTAAAATAATCTGTAAAAATCTGCACTGACCTTGTGTCTCAATAAGTTGCCTGCCAGAATGCACGTAGCGAAATTAAAAATGAGATCGCATTCGATTCATTTATATAGCAGACTGCAAGGTTCAGAGTTCACCTCTCTTTTAAACTCAAGATTAAAAAAATTATGCACATCATGAGTGATGAGAAATTAAATTTGCTGATAAAGAGGATGCAGAAACAACAATTGAAATGAAAATTGCATGGCAACCTTTGTCAGCAAAGTCAAAATGACATCAGAATTATTATAATCGCTAATATTTATTAATAATGATAGGGGTCAACAACAATCACGTTGATATTTTTTATCAAACGCCGAGCAAAAAATTACGAAAGTGAAATAAAGAAAATACATGATTGTTGACGCTATAACTGAGCTTGTTTACCTAAAAAATTAACTCCAAATATATTTATTTTAATTACTCTATAAATGTTTATTTGTAATAAATCAGTGGGATATTATAAGAGCTCCACCACTAAATCATAATATAAAAAAATTTAAATTTTTTAACTAAAAATTAAAATTTATGTACAACATTTTTTAAGCTCATATATAGTAAGTTTTTTTTCTTTTAAATTTAATGCAGTTTATGTCAAATAAAAAGAGGTTAAGAGCAGGAAGTTTGATTTCGGTAATGAGCTCACTTAAAAGTACGCAAGGTACCAGGCTCGATTTGATTGGTCGACTAAAAAGGTGTGGAACATCACCTGAGCAGTGACCTTGGCAACGAAAACAAGTTTGAGCGGCGTTCAACTCGATCGTGCGAGTTGCGGCACACAAGCAAATTTCAACTTAAATAGCAAATAAAAATTTAAAAAAAAAACTAATCACGAATTAAAAAGCAAATAATATTCAATATTTAATAATTTTTTACCTTCTCTAGATTAAAAAAAAAGGTTTTACATTTTTTAAAGTGTTTTGTTGACCTGGTAGAATTTAAGAATTTTTGTTTGTTTATGTACAATAATTTCATTAAGATTCGCACACATCAATACTCACTTTGCATTATTTGTATTGTTTTGTTATTGAATGCACCCGCGTTCGAAATGTCAAAGTTCACGGTGAGCACCACAGAAAGGGGTTTTGCGACCTGGAGAGTGCTTAGGATTAAGGGTGGTGATTCAATTTACTTTTTGAATTTTCTGTGGGGCAGCCACAGGAATGACTCGCTCTCGTATGTATGCAATTCGGAAAAGCCAAAATCGATGCGCCCACACGAAACCACCCCCGTCAATTTGCGAATTTCGGTCAGAGTGCGTTGGCGTGTGTTTTGAAAAAGGAAAGACCCTCTGTGTCGTCGAGACGAAAGCAAAACTCACCCTTTTATATTGCAGTTTTCGCGTCCTCCACGGCTCAGGGTCGGCCGAACGCGCGCCGTGGCCACGCAGGATCCATCCTACCTGAATCGAACCCTTCGCGAGTCCAAGGCCAGCCTCCCGAAACGCAGATTTTGCCGAAATAAAACGTCGCCAAGTGAAGAGACGACGAGTTTTGTCAAGTTTTGCTTGCAAACGACGCTGCTGCCCTCTGCCGGCCAAACTGCCCAAGCTAGAGCACAATAACATGAATAACATGCCCATGCCAGTGCCCGATCGAGAATTCTGGAGCGCGAGTGCATTCCAACCCTGGGGCGCCCTTCCGAAGGGTTGCTGAGACCCTATTGGCCCAGGGTTGAGGGATAAAGGGTCTTGACTGACAGCAGACTGGGATGTGGTCACGTGACAACCTCAAGGTAGGTCAAAAATGGCCTAAATCTGCGGATAAAGAGAATTCTTTTTAACCACATGGTCACAAGAATGAACCGAAAATTAATTTTGAATGTGTGTCTGACTCATTTTTCTGCTTGCTACGTTGGATTATGGCACTTGTGTATGCTGGTTACGGTATATAGCCGCTTTTTTATACGCATAAAAATATTAAATACATAATATATAATAATTTTAATAATATAATAATAATAATAATATAACAATTGAATTATAAGAAATTTACTCTGTTGATAGCTTCCGAATTTTTTTTTCAAGCACCGGATTTTTTAAAAATTTCATAACTTTGCAATTTTTTCAATTTTTTATTCATTTAGTTATGAAAACACTAGATTTCTTTTCCAAAAATACACCATACGCATTTTTATTAATTATAAATTTTTATTTAAGCAAATTACTTGATCTGTATAGGGAAAAGGGAAGCTCAATCAATCAAACAAAAATGTTCCCTTTTGTTTTTAACTATATACATATTGCTGATAATATACTTAATTTATTTATTTTGGACTCAAGAGTTGCCCAGAAGCTTGGAAAGTAAATTTTTAGCACATAAGTATTAAATTTTCTGCCGTTAAAAATTTGGATTAACGACATATTCTTTTAATTTCTCATAAAAGAAGTAAATTTCCCAAAAAAGCGCAAATTTATTCAAAAATTATGTTTTATCGAAAAAAGATTTATTTCAAAGAGTGTGTGCAACGGGTGATGCAAGGAAATAATGTAAAAAGTGTGTAATTATTTTGCAAAACGATCATAATTTATTAATGAATGTTACATTCCAGTCTGTTTGAACGTTTGTGTAGATGATGTAAGTATTTTTCGATGTCGGCGCATAAATATATAGGGCAGGAAAGAACCGGCCAGGATGAGATTTTGCTTGTTCGGCTCATTTAGCCGCTCCTGCCGTAGTAACCACCATAGCCGGGGTAGCCTCCGTTGTATCCGTAGCCACCACCATAGCCAGGCCTGGGGTTGAAAAGGACAATTTTTACTTAATTAATTTCGTTCAAAATCTATTTCAAATAAGCACTAAATAAGAGCAAAATTAGTGTGCTGCTTCAGTAGGAAAACTACAAGTAAAAGTGCATGTGATGGGGTTAGTAAAACTTATGCAAGTAAACTGAAAACGTATATATTTTTAACGGAACTATTAATTCACGAAAAAGCTTGATTTTGGTGCAAAGCCACACGCTCACACAAAATTCCGTTATTATGTGTTATTTCTGTTTGTGTATGTAAAGATTTTAATAAGTTGTTAGGACATTGCAGTTTGTTCTACGTGCTCTTTAGGCTAAAAGATGAATGAAAATAATTAAAATAAATTAGGTATATTAATATATAAAAAAAAATTTAATGTACAAGTAAGTGGATTACTACCAATGATAATCAAAGAAGTTGAATTAAATTATGTACAAATTTAATTTGTTCAAAACTGTTACTAGTGGAGTTATCAAGTTTTTAAGTAACCAGATCAGAGTATGACAGCCTGAATTTCATATTCACAAATGGCTCTCTCAACTACCTGAATCTGTAATAGTCTCCGTAATAGGGGTAGGGACGGTCGTAATATCCGCCATAATAACCAAACGGCCTGTGATAAATAAAAATATTTCTAATGAGTATACAAAAGCAAAGTGAAAGAAGAGGTATTTAAGTGTTCATTTGTTTGATTGTGCTGAAAAAAAGCATTATTCATGTTTAATATTGACTGCAATATTACAAGTTTTCACTCAAAAGTTTTCAATGACTGAAAAGAAAAACAATTAAATTATTCCCTCATTTGAGAAAGCGGCCGGAGTTTTAAAATCATATAAATTTTAATAGAAGTTAAAAGAATTTTTTCATTGATGCAATCAGGGTTTCAGCAACAACCAGTTTTTTCAAGAATTTACAAACGCCGGCATAAAAATTCAAATGGTCAACACCATTTGAAATTGATTTTTATTTTAGATCTCGCGGTTTATCTGATATAACTACAATTTTTACAAAAATATTAATATTCAGATATAAATTTACTTTCTTTCTACGATTTATTTTAATCAAATTATTTTCCAAATTGAATTTTAAAACTTGTAACATTGCCGAAAAAGCTGATGGAGTGATGAACCATTGACACCAAGTTAAGAATTCTTGAAATGATAAAGGGCATATAAATCGATTTACAGATTTCGTTGCAACCAAACTAATCATTATTATTATAAAAAAGCCAACATAATAATGAAAAAGCGGCGCGTAGCGAAATTCTACCTGTAGTATCCACCGCCATAGTACGGGCGGTCGTAGTATCCTCCGTATCCAGGTCTGCGAGCGAGTAAGCAAAGGGACACAAATGAAGTTAAGTGATGATTTTTATGAAGAGCAAAATGAGACAAACGGGGCGTGAATAATAATTTCCTAAAGATACATAAATGCTCTTTTTTTGATATTTTTTCTCACCTGTATCCACCATAACCTCCATAGCCGCCATAGCCGCCGGGGTAGCCGCCGTATCCACCGTAACCTCCATATCCACCATAACCGCCGGGTCTGTAGTAGCCGCCGCCGCCGCCGTAGCCAGGGTATCCACCATACCCTCCGTATCCACCGCCGTATCCTCCGTAACCGCCATAACCTCCTCCACCAAAGAAGCCTGCAAATCAAGGAATTAAAATTTTACACGTCGATAATTGCTTTGAGGACTTAATAAATAAAATTAAATTTCAAACTTTTAAACTTGAAAATCAATTTAATTTCATTGAATTGTATTGATATTGCAAGCGCAAAGTAATAAATAATTTAGTTTTTGGTCAAGCGTAGCAGCAAAAGTAATTCATCATGTTTTAGATTCTTTTTTAATTCCTAGGTGCCATCGATAGAACCGGCAGTTATTTTTATTGAAAAGTTTTAAAAGCATTTTAATTTCTTACAATTTTCATAGAGATTTCAATTTTACCTATCAAATAATTATTGAATAAAAATCATTGTGTGCTCAAAAATTCTAAATTCAGTTTCTCTTTTATAAAGTTAAAAAGTATTTTGTAACTTTCATGTTTCATAAGATTGAAAAAAGTAAGGTCGTATCAATTTTCGCCTTTAAGGTGAAACCCATTGACTATTTGCCACGCTCAAAACCCGTTTTAACATGTGAATTTTAAGTACCATAAGCCTGAATATTTGAAGTAAATAATAATGTTTGAAGTTCTATTTCACTTTTAATTGAAGCTACTTAAAATATTGTTGGAAAAATTACCAAATTACTCTTAAAAATGTTATAACGAAAATTTAAATTTTTAATTAAATTTAAACTCACTGCGTCCTTCGCCAGCAGCGGCGGTCTGGAGGTCATCAGAAGATGTCCTCTGTTCGGCGACCTGCTCGGGCTTGGTCTCTTCAGCAGCCAAAGCGACGGCCACGACGGCACATAAAGCGGCCACAAGAATCTGAAATAATCATATCCGTTTTGAAAAAATCTTATTTGGAAATCAAAAATATATTTATTCAATCAGAATCTTTTAAAATTTAAAGTCGCAAAGAAAATGCAGCTTGTGTTAAGAAATGTTGTTGGACTTACAAGTTTTCTGGTAGTCATGGTGTGTGCTGGAGCGTTCTTCAGCGATTGAATAACCTGTGGAAGGGTTGCGCGCCTTTTATACCTTGTGTAGGACGCGGTGACTTATGCATCTCGCCACGGTGTGATAATGATTTTTGACGTCGCAAGTGGGGACCGGCGCGCGAATCGAGAGGAGGGAGCCGCACTCGGCCTGCACCTGAGGACACCTGAGCAAGGGTGGGCCTCCGTTTAATTTTCAATATTGCCGAAACAATGACGAACTTAATCAGCTCTCTGTCAAACTTCCTTTCGCTCGCAATCGCCGAGACGAAGCCAATTTGCTCCGGCCGTTGAAAAAAAAATACACACACTCTCACTCATGATCGCGTTTGGATTAAAAGGTGCATTATACTCTTTGCATTGTTGTTCCGCCGAGGGAATTCCCATAAGCACGCGGCTCAGTCCGTTTTTCACAAGTGGGTCACGGCCACCCTGCGCCATGTCTCTTTCAGATCGTCCGGCGTTTTGCAAAACTGCACGCACTCGAGACTACATACGCGTGGTGATGTTAGTGCTTCCTAAAAAGTGGCACTTACCGCTGTACTTATTATGCGAACAATCCTTCTAATGTTTCCCCATTTTGCATGATTGATGCGGGTTCAATTAGGTTACAAATCGGCGCTATTATACTTTTGTCGCATATTTATTGTGTATTTAAATTTTTTGCAGCATATTTCAGGTTTATTCTGCGTTTTGTGCTCTTTATTTCATGCATTAATTGTTATTTATATTAAAATCTATTGTGCTTTAATATTTTTAGCAGAATTTAAATATTAGTCCAAATTTAATATGTTTTAATATATATCTTTTTATTTTTTTACTTCTCACTTGTTAATTTCACCTGGATCATTAATTTTTTTCTGGATCATGCCAATAATATCCAAAAATATTATACTTTTATATATGAAGCAGTTTAATGGGTGACATAATTTAATGCCTCTTTAAACTATAATTTTAAAAAAAAATTGTTCGTTACCAACCTGTAGAAATTTGATCTTCGGGAGAATGAACTTATAAAGTTTCTCTAACAGCTTACAATCTCTAACATAATTTACAATAAAATTCCATCACGCTGGCAATGAGAATTAATTCCCGGACAAACGACATTACTTTGTATTTTGTCGGTATGCAATGCATGCGTTCAATAATTAAACCAGTCATTGTATCGATAGCCTACAGTGTCCTGATGAAATTAATTCATCTTGGTCAAGTGGAAAAACTAGTTTAAAATATAATTGGCAACTGAAAAATTATGTAATAAATATTATTTTAAATTAAATATGAAAAAATTTTGCATCTAATTTGATTTTTAATGCAAATTATTAAGTTATAAAAGCTTAAGTTTTGCGCAAAATGATTTTTCATTCAAATCATTTATTATTATTTCACATGGATTTGTGATAATTAATAATTTTAAAACTTGTGGCTGTAACTAACATTAAAGGTTTCATGTTAGCAAAACTTGCCGCTGAAACATACTTTACATTTATAATTATTGTATTTATTTTAAATAGCTATTTTAATTCTTAATTTAATATTAATTTATTTTATTTCAGTCTAGTTAAAATGTGCGATCGATGATATTTTAAAAGAAGAAAACAATATTTTAAATGATCAGCTCAATCTTGTTCTTTTGGTTGCAATGTTATGTTTGCAAAAAAAACTTTCAAATTGACCAACTCCCTATTTCTAACGTTTCCGTTAAAAAATATCTCGCCTGCTAATCTCACCGTTTCCTCTTTTACCACAACTTTGTTAATCACAGAGGAAACAAACCGAAAACGCGCAAAATCCGCCGTCCTGAAACCACCAACAAACCAAATCCCTGGACGCACTTTCTTTCTTCCTCTCTTTTGTTCATACTTTTAACCACATATATTAACTTGATGACCCAAGGCTTTCGTCTGAATGAATTTTACGTTTAATTGGCCGATTGTGAGAAGACAGGCGACCCTCGAGGCCTCAGAATTTGAATATTTCCCAGCAGAAGCGATAACGCTCTGGCCGCCACTGAGATTTGCACCTTGGTGCAACAATGACCTTTCGAGGTTGCATATCCTGTGCGCGGATTACCCACTCGGATGCTAATAAATGGTCAACCGCCTCTTGCGGGAGGACATCAAGGATGGTTCTAATTGCGATCTAGCGTCTCTCTTTGTTATTGTTTTGTAGGAGAGCGAATCGCAACTATGGGTGACTCGTAAAGCGGCCTTGTCATACACTAATTGAGCAAGAAGCGTTTGCCACGCATAATATGATGCGTAAAGAAATTACCACCAATATAAATAAAGCAAAACTTGAATCATTTCAGAGAAGTTCTTGTGCAAAAATAGCTAAAAAGAACATATTAAAGGGGAATTTTTATTTTAATTAAAATAACTATTGCAGGAAGAAATATAGATGTTCAATCAATTAATTTTGATAAGGTGAGTTGTTTAACAAGTCTCTCAGTATTTTTTTAAATTTTATTTTTCATGATTTTGGAAAAAAAAAATTTAAATATTAAATACTCTTAAGGCACAACTTCATGGTATTTTGTTCATAAATCGAGGGTCATGGAGCTTATTCCTAAAATATGCGATAAATTTACAAATTCTCGGGACGGCCCATATTACAATTTTCTCCCACATAACGACATTGAAGCCTCAAAGCACGTCATGGCACGTCTTTATTATTATACAATGTTTATCCCCGCGACCGTCACCAATTGGGTCAAAGAGATGCATCTCTCTCATAAGAAAATCTCACACGTCGCGGCGCTATTTGCCGGCGCTTCCTACACAAGTCCCATACAAGGGTTGGTGAATGGCGGCTCTTACATAATTAAATCGGTTGTTTGCAAACTGACCCAATACCGGGTGCCTACACGTAGCTCACTTGCAGGGTCAGGTTTTGTGGACCTGCCCCCTTTGGGTGGAACGATCTCTGCGTTCTTTTACTCTTGAAAAAATAGTGATTGAAGAATTACATTAAATCCAAGTAGAACAAGCTGCAATTATTTGTTTCGCAGTGAGTTTCAGCCTCGCAGGCAAAATACACACAAACGTCTCAAATCGGAAATTCCAACCGTGATGCAACCTCTCTTTCTCCCAATGTTTGATCTGCGCTGCGATTCGGAGCGGATGGGAGTTGACGCAACAGGAAAATTTACCTTTTATGTAACTAATTAAAGAGAAAATTTTACTGATAATGGAAGTGTCTCAAATGCTGAAAGAAGTGCGAGTTGTTAGCAACTCGCTTATATGTGCTAATGACGTGAACCGCAGGGATGAGCAAAATGCACTGGTCTTGTCTAAAGCCCCGGAAAGACCCTATCAGCGCCGCGAGATCTACACAGGCGAAAAGTAAAAGTGCATGCGTTGTATAACAGTGTCCACTCCTTTTTTCGGTTTCACGAGACACGCAACACTTTTACTTGACTTGTGTGTTCCACTGGCCGACTATAGCAAGCAAGCTTTAAAACTTATGGCCGAAAGAAAAAAAAAATCGTTATATTGAGTAAGATTATTCACTGGGAAAACCGAATTGTGAAAATGAGTTGCCGAAAGACAAGGTTGAAACAGTTATAATTATGAAATGTATTCAACTTGAAAGGATGATTAAAATCAGAAGTTCTAAATTAAATAATTGTAAAGGGACATTATTTTAAAGCTTTTATTTTTGCCTGAGAAATTCGGTGGAATTTTTTGGGTTAATAAATAAGGTTTGAAGAGATGATGGAGCGTTACATAGTCTTTCCAAGAACTCTCCGCGTATTATACACGGTGTTTACGTTAACGCCGACCGTCGCATCTCTCAGAAAGGCGCGTCAACTCTTCCATGGAGTTCAAGGTTGCCGGCGTGTGATTCATGAATTAAGAAAGCATCACGCTGAGCCGCGCCGCCGTCTCGGCACTTTCGATTTCAACTCGCCATAAGCAGGCATGTTAAATTAAAATAAAACGCGCGCCGCCAAGTAGTACAATAAAAGGATATCTGGTTTAATTAAACAGCAAGCAGAACTAGCAACCCACAGCTTGCTTGTTTATGTGTAGGTGAAAATATGACCTGGCCCACTTTATCACGTTGGGTAAAAAATTAGAAATGAAATTTATCGTTGAAAAATCTATATAAGCTAGGAAAAAAATAAATTCATTAAAATGTTATTCATTTTCAAAATTTATTCTTTTCTGTGGACTGATTATGGCGTTCATGATAAAATGAAGCACTCGGTGGTTAAATTTAATTTAATTGTGCTTATGTAAATTTTAATTTTGTTTGAGCAATACTGTGTACGCTGTAACAACAGCTTTTATCTATTTAAATCTTAATATAAAGAAACCATCTGAATTTTATTTTAGCAAGTTACTCAAGGGCACAAAAATATTTTGCAATATTCATCTGACCAATTTTCGATTAAAATTAAAAGAAACTAAAACAATTGAAGTAATAAACTAACTTTATTTTAAATTATGAGCTTTAAGTATTGATTAAAATTAAATACTTCAATCAGGGACAACTAATTTAAAATCTTAATTTGTACGTCTAGAAAATTCATTTCATAATGTCTGCAACTCTAAATATAACTTTCAAAGTTTGCCACCAAATTAATATCTATCTTGCTACGATTTTGAAAGAGCTTTTTTTTTTAAATTTCACCCTAGTCCATCTAGGATTTCAAAACAATTTTGTTTCTTTGGTCCCGGTCTCAATTTGTCAAAATTTTCTCACAAGCCCATTGTGGGTTTTACAAGAAAAATTAGCAGAATGTATTATTGTCTAACGTGAAATGCATTTGGTGACAAGTCCATTAAAAGAACAAGAGGATATAATTCTAAGTGAGTGTGACAATGGCCGCATCAGGAACATAATTTGTTTGCATATACACCTCCAACTGCAGCTCCAGAGAATAACAATAATGTGCCGCCAGCGCACGTGAGAGAGTTCAACGCACGCATTGCATAACCTTTCACTTTTACTCGCCTGCGTACGCTAATGGCTGGTGGGAATAATCGCTTTAATGTGCATTGAGGCCCTGGCAAAAAGGTGCAAGTTATTGAATTTGGTTCGGTTTTGCGCTTCAGTGGGTCTCTATGCGAATTCTGCAGGTGATTCGATTCATGCACACCATAATGATAATTCATGGTCAGCTGGAGTGCATTTTTTGTTTTCTTCCAAGTCTGGTGTGACCGACCGGATTCGCTATTGTTGCAGGTTCTACGCCCGCGAAAAGAGCGACCCACACACACACACGAACGCAACCCTGAGAAAGATTTTCTAGCCGCGAACTGAACTTGCGTGCATTATTATCATTTTCTTGCTTTAAACGCGGGACAATGCCTTTGGGTTAATTAGCATGTTGCGGCACTTTGTTCAAAAGGGCCTTGTGCAAGTTTATAAGTGCGCACATGCATGAAGAGATTCGTCCAATAATTACAAATAAAGGAAATGCACTTGCACCAGGTTTAAATTAATTAATCATCTTTGTATATCAATTTCCACTCTCTGTTTCAAGGGTGAGAAAGTCTTCAAGGAAGATTATAGATATTGCACAAGGCCAATTTTCTAAAACTTTTATTTTGTTAAATGCTTAGGTATCACATTTAAAAAAATGATAGGTAAAAGCATGTTAGTAAATGCTAGAAATTTTTTATTGGCAGATTGTTCGTTTAAACATAATTTTTTTTGTCATTCTGCAGATAATTCAATCCAAATTTCACATCAGTTACGGCTTATGGCAAAATAAATAAATTAACCCTTTCAGCAGTGTTGAATTTAAGTATAACACAATTTGGCACACAAATCCACAAAATTTGAGTTCCCATTAAAATCTCACTGGCTGTTTAAGAACTACCCTCCACCGTTCCATTTCCTTTTGTTTAAGACTTAATCACTTTTGAACTTTCAACTTCCTTTTTGATTTGGACCATGGCAGTTTCAAGGGCTCGCAGAGCTCTTGTGCGTCCTACTGGCTGGAATGATGTCTCCAGATGAGCTTGCTCGAGGATTTTCTTCAAACTCTCGTTGGAAGCGTCGAGCAGGGATCTTCCGTAGCCATTTCTCCTCCTACTAGCAGCACACTGCGCGCAAGCTTGGCCAGGGGGCGCTCCGACTGGGTAGAGGACGGGGTAAATTTGAGCAGGGGTTCCCTCTTTGTCAGGGCAGTACGGGTAGAAAATGACGGGGATGTATCCAGCCTGAGGGGGTGCACTTGGCTGCGAAGGTGGTCCACTTGGATGGCTTCCGCCTTGACCAGGGAACGGATGAACTTGAGGTGGTTGCTGAGGATAACCACCTCCGCTTCCAGGTCGTTGAGGATAGCCACCAGGCTGTTGAGGCTGCTGAGGGTAGCCACCTCCAGGTTGTTGTGGTTGTGAGGGATAACCACCTCCGGGCTGCTGTGGTTGCGAAGGGTATCCACCTCCAGGTTGTTGGGGTTGTCCCCCACCAGGCTGCTGCGGTTGCGAAGGATAACCACCTCCTGGCTGTTGCGGCTGTGAAGGATAACCACCTCCAGGTTGCTGTGGTTGCGAAGGGTATCCTCCTCCAGGCTGCTGTGGTTGCGAAGGGTATCCACCTCCAGGTTGTTGGGGTTGTCCCCCACCAGGCTGCTGTGGTTGCGAAGGATAACCACCTCCTGGCTGTTGCGGCTGTGAAGGATAACCACCTCCAGGTTGCTGTGGTTGCGAAGGGTATCCTCCTCCAGGCTGCTGTGGTTGCGAAGGGTATCCTCCTCCAGGTTGTTGGGGTTCACCAGGCTGCTGTGGTTGCGAAGGATAACCACCTCCAGGTTGTTGGGGTTGTCCGCCACCAGGTTGCTGCGGTTGCGAAGGGTATCCACCTCCAGGCTGTTGGGGTTGTCCCCCACCAGGCTGCTGTGGTTGCGAAGGATAACCACCTCCTGGCTGTTGCGGCTGTGAAGGATAACCTCCTCCAGGCTGTTGCGGCTGTGAAGGATATCCACCTCCTGGCTGTTCAGGTTGTGAAGGATATCCACCTCCAGGTTGCTGAGGTTGTCCGCCACCAGGTTGCTGTGGTTGCGAAGGATAACCACCTCCTGGCTGTTGCGGCTGTGAAGGATAACCACCTCCAGGCTGTTGCGGCTGTGAAGGATATCCACCTCCAGGTTGTTGCGGCTGTCCGCCACTTGGCTGCTGAGGATAACCACTGCCGGGCTCGTTAGGGATCTGACCTTCTGGTTCCTGTGGGTATCCGCCGCCAGGCTGCTGAGGATAGACCCCTCCTGGCTGTTGTGGTTGACCACCTCCTGGTCGCTCCAAGTTTTCTACATCAGGTTGCTGAGGACCTTGCGGGTATCCGCTTCCTGGTTGCTGTGGTTGTCCACCTATAAGATAATTTCAGTTGTTTGAAATAATTTATAAAATAAAAAATAATTAAAATTTTCTGAAAAAAGTTTGGTTTATTAAATTACCTGGATAGCCCTGACCACCATGCCCTCCCTGGCCACCGTCTCCTCCTTGACCGGGCTGACCTCCTTGTCCACCTTGACCTCCTGTACCTGGTTGTCCTAGAAAAAATTGAATAAATTTTAAATATTCAAATAAAAAAGATAATCATTCAAATAGTTTTCACTTCATTTTTTTGAATTTTTATTATGCTCGCATACCTGGGTATCCACCATCCCCTCCTTGCCCTGGTTGTGAGGGTTGGCCACCTAGTTAATAAAATTTAGCATCTTGCTTCAATCTTAAAACTTTATTATTACCAGTTTGCGGTCCTTGAGGGTAGCCACCATTACTACCAGATCCTCCTTGTCCACCTTGTCCTGTAAAAAACATAGTAAGAATTTTTCAATTTTCAATATTTAATCTTTAATCACATTTTCCTGTAGGATCAAAACAGAGACTTAGAAGCTTAATTAATTTATGTTGGAATCCGAAAGAAAATTAATTATTACTTACCGCCTGAGCCAGGTGAGCCTGGAGTTCCGGGTGTTCCAGGTGTACCTATTTTAACAAATCAAGTTTATTTTTTCATACTTAAATGATCAGAAATAAATTTTCAGTGTCAATAATTTAAATAATCTCACCAGGTGTTCCTGGTTGTCCTTGTGAGCCGGGATATCCCCCTGTTATAAATTTAAATTAGATATTGATTTTAATTTTGAAACTAATGTTTACCTTGAGGGCCCGTAGGGTATCCACCAGGAGATCCTGAAAATGAATTTTTATTTAAAAACTATTTCAGAATGTTTATTTTATTTTGTGATAAACGACTTTAAATTGAGCAGCGTGGACCTATTATTTTGACGCTACAAAACAACGCTTCATCAAGATGATAAGATTATTATTGTTTACCTCCTTGGCCACCTTGTCCTCCTTGCCCTCCAGATCCTGGCGATCCTGTTTATATACATTACGTATTAATTGAAATATGTATAATTGACAAAATTTAACGCAATTGATGTCATTATTCTACGCTTGAAATTAAAAAATTCCAAATTTTTTTTTATAAATGATCAAGATTTTTAGCATTTTTCCGTATTTTAAAATTGCTCTGAATTATTTTATTAAACTGAAACATCCCCCAATTTTTACCTGGACCAGCTGGGTATTCTGTTACGCCTTCACCAGGATATCCACCTTGTCCACCTATCACAGAAACTTTGATAAAAATAACAAAATTATTACTAAGAGAATTAAATACCATCCCCGCCCTGACCTCCTGATCCTGGAGAACCTGGTGACCCTAAATTAGATATTGTAAAAAATCTTTGAAATTTAATTGCGCTTCTAATAAAATACCTGGTGTTCCCGGTGTTCCTGGTGTTCCTGCAAGATAACAAATATTTTTAAGTAATTGATCATCATCAATATGATAATGAGTAACTTAAACTGTTAACTACATACCTGGTCCACCTGGTTGTCCTCCCTGTGGGTATCCACCTTGACCGCCTTGTCCTCCTGTACCCGGTGTTCCAGGCGTGCCTTATGGTCAAGAATTCATTATTATGATAAACAACCACTTTTAGTGAAGTTTATTATCTACCTGGTGTGCCAGGCTGTCCAGGATATCCACCTGCAAAATTAAATTATATTAGTTACCATAATTTACATTACTGGCTCTGCGGGAAATTATAGTCCCACTTTAATAGGTTATGCAACTTGGACTACACGAGAGTCGAGCCAGTTGCATACTCCCCGCAAACCTTTATAGTTTAATTAATACTAGGAAATGGGTTAAGATTTTCAATTAAATAAAAATTAATTACCTTGAGGTCCTGTAGGTTGGCCAGGATAGCCTGCAAAATTAATTGATTCATTACTTGCAGAAAAAAGTTGTGATTTCATAAATTTGAATCATAAAAATTCATGTAACAAATAATTTAAGTAAAAATTAACTCAATCATACAAAAAAAAAGAGACAAAATTGGATGTTGCCTTTTGCACCCCCTTAAAGGAGCACAGGCCTACAATACTAGCTGTCTAATGTCTTGGCCAGACCCTTAAAAAATTTTATTTTTAATAAAATATAAAAAATTATATTTTATGAAAAACTTGAAAATGTCAATATATAATTTTTTTATCTACCTCCTTGTCCACCATTTCCTCCTTGTCCCCCTGAACCAGGTTGTCCGGGTGTGCCTGAAAGTGCAATAAATAAATGAAATAAACAGCACCTAGATCAAATTTTTTTAATAGCAAAGAACTAAGAACGCAGTTTTTTTTTTATTAATTTTATAAAAACAGTAATATTCACCTGGTGTTCCAGGAGTTCCGGGGGTTCCGGGCGTGCCTTAGCAAGAAATCAAATTATTAGTTTGAGAAATACAATGTGCATATTTTTCTAAAAATAATTAGTTGACGGTTTTAGACCAAACCAGAAAACCTTTGCAAATCTCATAAGTTAGAATTTATTCCAAAAATATTGTGCCAGTAAAATATTTAAACCAAAGGATTGTCACCTGGTGAGCCAGGATACCCTCCTTGTCCATTTTGTCCTCCTTGACCACCAGTTCCAGATCCACCAGGGGAACCTTAAATTAAAATTATGTAAATTTTATGGGGTTAAAAACTTTTTTGCAAATACCTGGTGATCCACCTTGCCCACCATGTCCTCCTTGTCCACCTGTGCCAGGTGTGCCAGGAGATCCTAGTTAAAAGATATTAATATTTTTATTTGTCATGATTTTTTTTATTACCAGGGTAACCACCCTGACCGGCAGTTCCGCCTTGTCCGCCCTGACCGCCGGTTCCAGGGGTACCGGGAGTTCCAGGAGTACCAGGTGTGCCTAAAATTTTTAAGTTCATGAATAAAATGTGATCAAACGAAAATGGGAAATTCAGTACCTGGTGAACCAGGATATCCGCCTTGTCCGGCAGTTCCACTCTGTCCGCCAGTTCCGGGGGTGCCGGGAGTCCCAGGTGTTCCTAAGATTAAAAATTAATATACAAACTTAAATATACTGTGCAAATTCAGTACCTGGTGAGCCAGGGTATCCGCCCTGACCGGCAGTTCCGCCTTGCCCGCCTTGCCCGCCGCTACCTGGAATTTAAAATAAACATGTTATAATATTAATAAGGCTCAAAAAGAGTGATCAGAAATTATACCTGGTTGGCCAGGATATCCTCCTTGAGGACGCTGTCCACCTTGACCACCAGTTCCACCTGGAATCGCAATAAAAGATAATTTAGTTGCCAAATTATTAAGCAAATGGAATAAATGGTTTATTTTTTAAAATTTATATATAATCTTATGGAATCTAACAATTTTCATTACTACCATAAAAAAATTCTAGTTAAAATTTCTCTTTTTGAGATCTAGTATTAAAATAATAATTTTTTAAGTTTTTGTGGTGTTCCATGAAGCAAATAAATTTCCTCGATATTTTTTTTCCTGGTAATTTGCTTAAAAATCAAAATTGTAAAAAAAAATAACTTTACCTTGTCCACCCGATCCTGCTCCGCCAGCACCTCCAGAGCCTGTGTGGAAAAATTAAAAATTGTACTTAATACAAATTAAACAAACTGAGGTGCGAGAATAGCTATGTACCAGGTTTGGTGCCAGGTTTAGAAGCTCCACCTTGGCCTCCAGTGCCTATGAATTATTCCGATTTTTAAATGACAAAAAATTTAGTTTATTTTTTTTTTATAATGGTGATGTTTTATTTATATTTATTTAATTTATTTAGAATGATTATTTTGGGTGTTAATTAATTTCCACAGGCAGTTAATGAAAACAAGTACCTCCAGTACATGATCCTTGTCCAGAATTCTGGGTGGATCCTACAATGCACATGTTACAGTTAGCACACCACACAAACATTATATATTACTATATTGTAAAAATGCAACAAAATAATGTACACAAAAAATACCTTTATCCTTGTCACCAGTTACCGAGCCATGGGTTGCAAAATGGCTCGATCCTAAATTTCAGGCACATTTTACTTTGAACATGCATTTTTTTTTTTCAATTCAATACCTTTGTCCGTTTCTTTGTGGCCACTTGCCGAGCCGTGGCCACTGAAATGAGTGGAACCTAAAATAAATTCAAAACAAACGCGTTACATGCAACATGCAAATCATCATTCACTAATGCGTGGCGCTACCTTTGTCTTTATCTTTGTGCACACTGACAGAGCCGCTGCCAATGAAGTGGTTCGAGCCTAAAAATTCATTTGTCCCTACAATAACATTTTTTTAAATTGGCCTTTCAAGTACCTTTGTCTTTATCTTTGTGCCCATGTACTGAACTGCCACCACTGATGTGGCTAGAGCCTATAAAAATTTATTTAATTGTATAATACAACAGATTAAAAAAAGTTTCAATTAAAGTACCTTTGTCTTTATCCTTATTTGCTTGAAATGAATTTTGAGCGTGAAAATGGCTGCATTCTAAAAATTTGTGAATAAGTATTTAAAAAGTTCCCACCTTTTTCGTAAAAATTAATACCCTTGTCTTTTTCTTTGTGGCCACCAAACGAGCTACTTCCAGATACATGACTTGTCCCTATTGCAATTAAATTTTTTTGTTACAAATGGTCATGTTGTGCTAAATTTAATACCCTTGTCTTTATCTTTGTTTGCAGAAAAGTTATTTTGGACTGCAAAGCTGCTGGTTCCTGAGCAAAGCAATAGTTTGGTGAGTACAGTCTTCAATTCCGCATTTAGAAATTACCTTTATCTTTATCCTTATTTGCATTGAAAGAACTTTGGCTATTAAAATTGCTCTCTCCTGAAATTCAGCATCGTTACAACAAAAGGCTTTTAAATTATCACACAATTTAATCACCTTTATTATTGGAGGCGGTGATTGAATTTTGAGCGTTATAATTACTGCTTCCTACGTGCAAACAAAAATTTTATATTTTTCAAAAGATAGAAGGTTTTTTATTCAAACCTTTGTCTTTGCCGGAAAATGAACTCTGAGAGTTGAAATTACTTCCACCTTTTGTTTGAAAAAATTTTAAAATAAATTGATTTTTAAATATTTGTATTTTTAAACCGTTATCATTTGAGCTTGAAAATGAGCTCTGGCTATTCAGATTAGTGTTGCTACTGCCTTCTGAAAGAAAATTACTGCATTTCACACTTTCCCCGTCATAAATTTATATTTTTACAAGCAGCACCTTTGTGTTTTTCTGACGAACTCGTAAACGAGCTCTCGCCGTGGACGTTGGAGGCCACACCTAGTTTATGAAAGTCAAATTAGCATCAAACAAAGGGATTCCTCGCCTAGAGTGCGAATAAATGTGTACCTTTATCTCCCGAGATGGATCCGTGGCTAGAAAAGCTAGTCGAACCTAAACGTGTAAAGAATGACAAAATAAAACTCGGTCAGAGCGAGCCAAAAGTTTTATCAACATAATGAGCAACTGACCTTTGGTCAAGTGATCCTGATAGGACGCGCTCGCCTCAAAGTCATAACTTTTGCCTGGGTGCATCCACGTGTTAGTATACGTAACAAACAATTATTGACAATCACAAAAAATCACATAAAAAATCAATAACCATGCACATTAGCAACGCAGTCACGTTAGGTCAATATTTACAATCTTGATTTTTAATTTCATGCCATGATGTTTTCGTTTAAAGGTGAATCAGCACATACAATTTATTTACAGGTCACGCAGTTTTATGCTCATGCTCCATGCTGCTCTCATTTATATTGTGTTAATCGATTGGAAATTTGAAACTCACCTCCGTGTCCACCACTACCTGCAGTTCCCGGTGTACCAGGGGTGCCTAAAACAAGTAAATTATTTGTTAATTTTTTCATAATTTAAAATGTTTATTTTTAATAATTTACACAACTAATTTAAAAAATAATTTACCTGGTGTTCCAGCAGTTCCAGGTGTGCCGGGGCTGCCTGAAACATTTAAATTTCGCGTTTAATTTTTTTTATTTTATTCATATTTCAACAAAAAAATTACCTGGTGTTCCAGCAGTTCCAGGTGTGCCTGCGGTTCCTAAAAGGAAATTTAAAAAAAAAATTAAATGAATATCAATAATTCATTTGAATTGCATTTTCAAATACCTGGAGTTCCAGGTCTTCCAGGGGTTCCTAAAATTTTGTTAAAAAGTTTTATGAAATATATATTCACATATAATTGAAACCGAAATTTCACCTAGAACTTAAATTCATATTACCTGGAGTACCAGGGTATCCGCCGCCACCTCCAGAGCCTCCACTTCCAGCTGTACCTAGAATTCAAAAATTGAAAATTAGCACTTGTGCTTAAACATAAAGTATTTATTTTTTCTCTTTAATTATAATTTCTTGCTTAAAGCTTGGCTAAATCTTAATAATATTATACTTGCCTCCATGTCCGCCTGATCCTGGTGTTCCAGGTGTTCCTTAAAAAATTGATTTATGTTTTAATTTTACTTCAGAGGAGATTTAAATTGATGTAATACCTGGTGTTCCGGGTTGTCCTGGTGAGCCTGAAAAATATGAAAAAAAAAATTATAAATGAAACTTATTGCTAGCAAGATCTACATTTAAATACATACTTTACTCCACTTTACAACCTTAACTGACGTTCTTAAAGTAAGTAAATGATTTGATTTTTTAAATGGACTTAAAAAAACTCTAAGAATTTATAAAACTCTAGTGATCAAGTCAACCTCTAGAGCGTCCATAGTCATAATACTAAGTAAGATATGTTTTTGGCAGCTTCATTTTGCACTCGTAACGCAAGCCCTATTATAATGTGCATTTGCATCATAATAATTTTTTATACTGCCTCTTTCTGAGAGAATAATTATATATATTTTTATAATTAGCAACCAAAGCTCCATTTATAATTATGATAGTAAAATAATACATAGTTAATAATAATTTGAATTACAAGGGGAATATTTAAAAAAAAATGTGTTAAAAAATCACCTCCTTGACCACCATGACCGCCTGAGCCGCCAGTACCTGGTGTCCCTGGAGTGCCAGGAGTGCCTTAAAATTAAAAAAATTAGTTTTTTATCATAAAATAAAAATTTCATGTAAGTACCAGGAGTTCCAGGTCTACCGGGTGTGCCGGGTGAACCTGTAGCATTGAAAATAAGTTGTTATTCTGTGCTACAAGGCCAATTTTAAAATTAATCAAGAGGTTTTTTGTTAATGAGAATTTATCTGATCAAATAGTTACCCTGCGATCCTGGGTAACCGCCGCTGCCTCCTGACCCACCGCTTCCAGCACCACCAGAACCGCCTCCTTGTCCACCATGACCTCCCGAGCCGCCTGTTCCTGGTGTTCCTGGAGTTCCGGGGGTGCCTTTAAATTTTTTATTATCACTCGAAATTATTCAAAATATTCCACTTAAAATATAAAAACTTATAAAAAACTAATTAAAAAGATTGTTTTCAATATAATTTGTATGTGTTTTTAAAATTGAAGAAGATTAGTAATGCTTATAAAAATGATTTAATTCTCATTTAAGAATTCAAATCAGTAAAAAATTACCTGGTGTTCCAGGTCTTCCTGGTGTGCCAGGGGAACCTATTCAAAATTGAAATTAAATTTAATAGAAAATTACGGACGGCCTAAAAATTTACCTTGTGAACCGGGATAGCCTCCACTTCCTCCCGAACCACCTGATCCAGCTCCACCAGAACCTCCGGCGCCACCAGCAGATCCTAAATTAAATTTTTATCAAGCAACTGGAAAATAAAATATTTACAAATAATATCGACCATTTTCATTTTGTCAATATTCTCATGATGCCACTCTGTCCAATAACACGATATTAAGCAAATTTAATATTAACTGATAGAACTGAACAAGTGAAAGAATTTACTTCAAAAGATAATAGTGCGTAAATGTTTGGAATTGATTGAAAAAAAGTAGTCATACCTCCTTGTCCTCCATTACCTCCTGAGCCACCTGTTCCTGGTGTCCCTGGAGTTCCAGGAGTGCCTTACAGGAAAATAAATTTTATTTTTCATTACATGAATATTATATAATTTATTTAAAATGAAATACCTGGAGTTCCTGGCCTACCAGGTGTGCCTGGCGAACCTGCAGCATTTAAATTTGATTAAATAACAACGTTTAATTGCGCCAATTTAAAAGAGGAATAATATATTTTTATAAAAGAAAAATAACAAAGCTGCTTATTTACTGCCACTCAAAAGGATACATCAGCAGTTACTATGCCCTGATACCAAATTTTTAAAATGGCTATTTTTGAATTGGAATGGAATAATTTTGACCTTGTGATCCTGGGTAGCCGCCGCTACCGCCTGAGCCACCGCTTCCTGCACCACCAGATCCGCCTAGATAAACAAAAAAAATTATTAATATTAGCGAGTACAAATTAATATTTGTTAATAAAATACAAAAAAAAATAAGCTTTTCTGCTCACCTCCTTGTCCACCGTGACCTCCTGAGCCGCCTGTTCCTGGTGTTCCAGGGGTTCCTTTGATTGAAAATAGAGAAATTTTAATCTAATTTGCCTCTTTCATCACCAGAAAAATTTCAAAATCCCAAGAAAACGTCAAGTGTTATGTGAAATTTTTCTGAGGTTGCCTTTTCCATTGAAGTAAATTAAGTTTGAAGACATTTTACATTTATAGTTATTGAGAGAGGGAAAAGCTGGTTTAAATACAATTTTATCATTTGATTTTTAAATTACCTGGAGTTCCGGGTCTGCCGGGTGTACCTGGAGTTCCTGGAGATCCTGGCGAGCCTATTTAAGTCAATTGATTACAATTGGATTATAAATTAGAATTTATATGTAAAAATACAATACCTTGTGATCCTGGATAACCTCCACTTCCACCAGATCCACCTGATCCGCTCCCTCCTCCACCTCCTGCAGTTCCTAATGTGTAAAAATATAGATTATTATTTTGCAAATATTTAACTAGCATAATTATAATATATAAATAGATATAATTTGTTAGATTGATGGTTTGAAGAGCAAAAAAACTTACCTCCATGTCCACCAGAACCTCCAGAGCCGCCTGTTCCCGGTGTTCCTGGAGTTCCAGGTGTTCCTTTTCAGGATGAAGAAAAATATTAATAAACGATTATCAGTGAAAGCATCAATTAAAATACCAGGTGTGCCGGGTCTGCCAGGAGTTCCTGGTGAGCCTACAAATTGAAGGAAAAAAATTGGCAGTGGATTTTTTATTTCACAAAATTTGGCACTACCTTGCGATCCTGGGTAGCCACCACTTCCACCTGATCCGCTTCCACCTCCACTTCCTGCACCACCAGCAGAACCTGATTTAAATTAAATATTTTTTAGAGTTAATTAAAAAATAACAATTAACATTAATTTGGTTTTAAAAAAAAATCAGTAGCTTACCTCCTTGTCCTCCAGAGCCACCTGTTCCGGGTTTTCCTGGAGTTCCTGGTGTACCTTATAAATAAAATGTAATTTTTCGAGAAAAAAATTGCGTAGAAAAATACCTGGTGTACCTGGCCTACCGGGGGTTCCTGGAGATCCTAATCAAGGAAGAATTTATGAAGAAAAATTGATTGAAATAATTTTGAATGCTATACCTTGTGAGCCGGGATAGCCTCCACTTCCACCTGAGCCGCCTGCTCCTCCTGATCCACTTCCTTAATTTTTATTTGATTTTACTATTTATCTAAAAAAAGTAATTTTGATCATTACCTCCGCTGCCTCCTGAGCCACCACTACCTGCAGTGCCGGGTTTGCCTGAAATTTAAATTTTCGTTTTTTGTCATTATTTGGATGAGTTCATGTATGGGGCATAGTTGCCCTAAATTCGAACCCAATAAACATTTCTTGAACCTAAAATGCATTATAAATTTTATTTAAAATGCACGTTTGAAATTTTACCTGGAGTCCCTGGTGTGCCTGGTGTTCCTGGTCGACCAGGAGTGCCTAAAGTTTATTTAATTAGACATAAATAATTTATTTTCAATTTTATTTAATTCATATTATGCAAGAAAAATTACCTGGAGTTCCTGGGGTGCCGGCGGTTCCGGGAGTTCCCGGTTTGCCTCCTGAGCCTGGTTTAGGTGGTCCTTGAGGACCTGCGTTCGGGTCGTAACCAGGTGACCCTGTTAAAAAAACTGGACTGAGCTAGTGGAAACATGCGAGCCATCCAATTGGCACAACGCACTGTTTCAGTTTATATCAAAATTTATGATTTCCAGATTAAAATTTTGTGATTTAAACTCTCCATGTTGAGAGCAACTCATGCTTCAGATTTAGAATAAGGTTTAAAATTCAGTTTAATTGAGACAAAACGTTTAACAAGTGAGGTGCACCAATTGCAAAGCTCAGGGTGCGCCAATCAGGTGGACCCTTCACCTGGCAGGGTGCCCCCGGGGCCGGTGCCGCAGCCCTTGGGGAAGTGGGCCTGTTCGTAAGGAATGGTTTCCATTTCGTATTCGTCAGTGGTTCCAGGCTTCGGGCGCCAAACCTCGACTGGCTTTCCCGGGATGATCACTCGGAATCCCCAAGCGTCGGCAACGTAGTGAGTGGCTCGGGGTTGGCCGTTGGGGTCAACGTAGCCGTAGCACCCGTAGGTGACTCCGTCGGGGCCGCGAACTTCGTGGTGGAACTGTCCGTTTGGACCCACGTCGTAGCCGTAAACATATTGAGCTGAAAATTTTCAAAGTTGAAAATTATTTTTTAATTTTAAATTTTTCTAAGATTAATAAAACTACAGGGTTTAATAATTAATTTAAAAAAAATTAGATTTCACCGTTGGTCCCACTAATCTCTCGCTACTTAGTCGCTACGGGGATAATTCAAAAAATAATTCCAACCGCATTTACTGTTTTCACAATCTTGTTCGTGGTACTGATTTTTGTCTTTGTCTTGGATGTCCACTATCACGTCCTTTCGGCTGAAAAGATCTTGGTGGTGGCTATGAGTGTTGGGGTTGATGGACTTATCAATTCGATGAATCTTCGATACCCTGGCCACTCGTGCGAGAGAGATGTCAGCCAGGAAGGCGAACGCCACCTGAAACAAATTCGCAGAATATTTTTTAATAAAAATATTTTTTTTTAATGATTAATAAAAAACATAGCGTTACCAATTAATCCAGGGTTTATTTTAAGAAACAGAAGCTTCTTAGTAAAATTACAATAATTTTGAAGCTCAATAAATTTAAAAGACAAAGTTTTAAATATTATAAATTTATTGCAGTTTAAACAATTGCAATGATTAAAAAAAGGTTTAACCAAGCTTTTTGTTAAAGGCATCAAATCGCTGTTATAATCAAAAAAATTTGATTCATATCAATTTGAATTGCCTTTAAATTTATTTTTTCAATCTTTCCAACCCCCCAATTTGACCATAAGTATAGTCTTCAAATATATAGTAATAAATCAATGGCTAAATTTATCTCCTTTTTGAGTTGTCAAATTCAAAATCCGTCCAAAAGTTTTCGCCCAAACATTTAAGGTTACTTATTTTAATTGTTACAGTTTTGGAGCAACGTAATTATTACCTGCCATCACTTTATGAATAATGAATATTTATTTAAAACTCAAGTTCACTTATTTATTGCTCTGCTTTCGGCGCTCGTACTTACTTGCAGCGTAATAAAAATTGGCCTTGGCAATGACCGGTCTTTTTTTGGCCACTTGAACCCCTGCGCCGCCAAAACAGGTCTTTTAAAATTAAAACGCCCAGGCGAAATTCAAACACGGTCCTCCCCAGATCATTATCGAGAGAAATTTACGATCTTATTGTCGTTGAAATAAAACCTCCTCTTATTACACATTTTTTTATTGCACCCAGCCAGACGAGTTTGTCTCTCTCGGCCGCTTTGCGGTCGGTCTGATTAATGGAGTGCACATACACGCGGCACGTGGTTTCTCTGTGTGTGTGATGCAGTATAGAAAAGCAGCCGGTGCATTTGTATACAGTCATGCTCGCGGGGTCAGTGCCAAGCGGGTAACTAGGTTATTTGCATGCATCGCTCTCTTCACTTTCGATGCGCGAGGAATTTAATTTAACGAAAGTGAAGGCACTTCTGCCAGAGATTAAATTATAAAACACCTTACGTTTTAGCTCACAAGTGCGAAATCGTAGCCGACTTTCTAAAACTCGGCCTACCTTAAATTCCGGGCAGTTAAAATTGTAAAATACTGCGCAGGTGATGGCACCCTGCTCCCCAAGTTCCAAAATTATTGGCAAATCTTGTTTGCGCGAGTTGAAGTCTCCGCCGGTTTATGGCGAAAAAATATCAAATTTAATGAACAGTGGGTTTTTCTCTTGGCCTCGTATGATTCACGATTAATGCCATTTGCATTGGCAATTTACGGCCCCAATCCCAGTTCGATCACGTTTCGGAGGCTAATTAGACTGGAGGAGATGAAATAGTTGTTAGACAGGTGCGCTACCTTTCCAAATGCTTTTATGACTTCATTTATTACACGAGTTTAAAGTTCATCGCTTATTCGTTTAATTTTGTTTGAGATTTATTAAGGAAATTTTTCTTATTTTGACGTACTGTGAAAGGTTAAAAACTAAGCCAATTTAAATGCACTTAAAATCCACTTTCAGATGCACTGCTTTGACTTTCAAGACCGTCTGCAGCGACAGAAGACATAAGAAGTTTGTCAAAACGAGAAAGATAAGCGTGAAATGCAGCTGCAGTACATTGGAACGTGGCCTTAAAAGCTTTTAGTTAATTAAGAGACGTGATTAAAATAAAATTTAATGCGTCCACTCCAAAGAAAACGATGAATGAACAAATTTTTAAAATTTTTTTTAATTCGCTCTTTTTTGGTTACAAAATATGTAAGAATTTGTAAATGAATGTTAAAACCTCAATACACTTTCAGTTAATTTAACAACTAAAATTTTTGCCAATTTCAAGCAGCATTGGATTAAAGCAAAGCGGCTCACTGTTTATTCAAGCAATCTAAATCCAATTTTTTTTTTTTTTTTTTTTATCAGAACACTACTTAAAAATTAGTTGAAAATTTTTTTGTTGTTGAATAATAATTAAGGAATTAAAACAAAATATCGTGAATTATGAAATGTGTCAATGTGAAAAGAGAGTATACAATTATTATGAAATACAAAAAAGAAATTTTCTAAATTTCGTTTAAATCTATTCGAACCTTTAAAATTTATTTATTTATTTTAATATAAATTGAAAAAACAAAAAATTGGCGTGATTATATTCTTATTTTGAATCAATAAAGCCTCATTGCGTGCCTATACATATGCAAATTTCAGGTATTCATGTTTTAAGTACCGGTTATCAGCGTTTAGACCTCTTGAAAATGTTCAATGTGCAAATAAATACTCGCTTAACATTAAATTTTATTATTTGTAGCTCGAGTTCATTGACCAGGAACGGCAAGTTGGCGATTTTCACGTGTGTCCCTGTGGTAGTCGCTCGGTTGGCACGTCGTGGGCATTATTTATTGCAACCGTCATAAACAGCCGCGGCCAAAAAGCGTCCCGCGGGGCCGAATTGCGCTCCGGTCAGTTGATGGGCGGCCTCTTTTCGTTTCAATTAAAACGATTTGACTCTCTGAAAAATTGCCCTTCAGAGCTGAGATTGGCAAACAAACAAATCCGTCGCCCACCTGCAGCCCTTTGCTCCTTATTATGGATGGAATGTCGCACGGCCCAACCAAAATAAAAACCCAAGGAAAAATTCGCGAGTGCAGAATTATGGTCGTTTGCGACGACGCCTCTTTTTTCGCGTTTGCCAATTGAGATTGCGGAGAGACAGGGCTGGAATCTCAATTATGATTTGTGCACGTCTTCCTGCTCGAAAGAGTGAGTGACATTTGAATGGGAGAAGGAGAAATTTATTTCATTTGGCACTCTTTTAGTTTTATTACAGTCAGCTGGGACCATTTGAAAAAAATACAAATGTTCAAAACGTGTGTAAATACAATAGAGATTTTTTGGAAAGGTGCCAAGTAAATTCAAATTTATATTAGACAGTGAAGCTAATCAATTTATTTTGGAGTTAAAAAATGTTTTTTTTCTTCAATAATAATTTGCACATGATTTTAAATTTTGTAGGTTATGTGATTATTTAACTGTTCTGATATTTTATCTAATTGGTAGCGATTGGTAGTTATAAACCTTTTTACTAGATTTTTATTAATAAAAATTTCCTTTTTTATACTCTCTCCGCTAATCTCCAGACAGAACCCTTTCGTTTTCAACAATAGAGATTCAAACTTATTTCTCTTAAAACCCCAACATAGACTTTTATGACGTGTTAAGGAGGTTAATTCCGCCATAATTTACAGAATTACGAAAAATATCTGTACAATATGTAGCCAGAAATTTGCATTTAAATAGAAAAATGAAGCGGTCCATCACAAGCCAAAGTGCAGTTTCGCGCTGCTTTCTTCTTGATATCAAATTCGCTACGGTTATTCGCATTCCTGAATGCGTAATAATGGAAAGAAAGCTTTCGCCGGCGTTAATTATTGCCGCGGTCCAACAGAGAATAGAAGGACGGACCAATATGGCATATTTTCGGCGGCACCTCAATGGTCCTCATTGTATTTTAAGATAAAGCCGCACGCCTCCAGGTGAGAGTTGCGGTGACGCCGGCGCGATTCGGCGTCTCTCTTTCCATCTCCTGCAATTAACCCTCATTTCAAAGTTGCGCAACGCGTGTCTGCATAATATCGGCGCGCCCCGCGTGCAACTTAAACTGGCTGAGCTGCAAATTCAAACAACGCTTGACGTAAGCGAAGGGCGCGATTTTGCATTTCACAGACGGCAGTTGTTTATTCTCTTGTTGCGAAAATTATTGCATGACATTATTTGATTGACAATGAGATACTTGAATAAACATTCATCCTTAATTTGAAACGTTGGAATGAAATAATGAGACACTGATTGGGATTAATTTCAGGAGTTTGTCTCGTAGAAGAAAGAAAGAAACACATCAAGGCTATGCACACCAAATGGTAGGTGTCCAAAATCAATTTATTTTAGTCATATTTTTGGAAGCAATTAAAATTTAAAATCAGTTTAAAGCTATAGCAATAGAAAAAATTATTTAAAAACTTAAAAATTCACAAAAATAGAATTTTTGAAATATATAGCCGTTTCAAAAGGGTTTCTATTTGAATTCCAATTTAATTGAAAAAAATTTTGACGGAAGAATTGTAAAAATGGCGAGAGGAATAGGTTGGAATTAGACTCAATTTTTTTTTAGCAATTTATGATATTTATTTTATGATTTTTATTTAATTCCATTATAATTGTAATTTTATTGTTAAAAAAATCTTTTAACTTTTTCATAAAAACTGAAATAAATAATATATTTTAAATTTACACTCTTATACACCTGATTATTGTAAAAAAGCAACAGCCTTGGTGGCCAAATTTGATTTATGGCCTTTTTTACAAACCGCAAATATTAATAATTCTCAACCGTTTAATCTGAAGGAATAAAACTCGTTACATTTGAAATGATAAAGTCACTTTGAGTGTCTCGCACTTCATAAAACCAGCACTCTGGCGTTTTATTTTATATACTCAAACGTCAAGTGCAATTATAAAATCGGCTCGTAAAGTCGTCTTCAAAGGAGCGGAATAAAACGGTGGCCCTTTTCAAACAAACATCATTTCGTGATTAAGTAACTTGTAAAAGGTCGATTGATACAAACTCGAAATCAGAGACGAGCGTTAAATTCCAAAAGAGATGCACCTGTCATTGATTTTGAGCTGACGTCCGTGCAGTTGCATAAGGAAGACTGACAAAAAATAAGACGCTAAATCTTGACAGCGACATTTGTTCTTCGGTTCGCTTTACAAAGTGACTATTAATTTCTATCTGTGGTCACACGAATTTTCAGTGTCGAAGAATACGTTCAGAAAAAGTAATAAAAATAGCTTTGCGTTTATTTTTGGCGTGTGTTTAGAATTGTTAATTTTGTTTGCGAATTTTATTCGCGACTTAGCAGCAAGGCTAATGAACTTGTTAGCAGCCTTTAAGGAATAAATACTAGAAAAGTAGCAAGTTAGCGTTAGCAACACAAAATTTAGTAAGTTGTGTTGAAATTTAAATCTTTTCAGTTGTAGTAAAACAAATCAAGATGTAAGATAATTACGTTTTTTTCTAATTTGATGTGAAAATAGAGGCGTTAGATTATTTTTACATTTTTACCCAAATCTCACTTAATTTTTGAAGAATATGTAAGTATTAATGTATTTTTTAATAGATCTAGTTTATTTTCATGAAAGAAATTTTGCACAAAAAAAGGTATTGTTATAAATTACATAATGCGTAATGGAATTGCAGTGCAAAGAACATTTTCCTAGAATCTTTTTAGTTTAAGAAATTCATTTATATCTTAAATGAAATTATATTAATTTATTGATTTCCAAAATCGCTGAAATACTCAAAATTTTATTTTATTTTCTTTCATGCAAAATATTCATTTTTATGATTAAGAGATTTAAGTTCTTTTGAAAATAAATATTGCGGTACTCACAACTAGAATCGGCCCAGAAAGCCGCATTTTGGCTTTGGCGGGTCCTGGTGCGGGTCGTTAGGTTTCCAACGGACGCACTGAGAATAGAAAAATTCGCCAGCCAGGTGACAGATGAATAGGCATCAAAGTGGTCGGTGACCAGAGTTTTGGCCCCTTTTATAACCCTCGATTCCCTCACCTCTTGGGCCGGTCCCCTCCTCCGATGCTGAGGAGTGCAAGACGGCGGACGTACGGACGCCCACAGCGAGATCCGAGCACCATAGAAGCTTCGAGCGGGTAGATTTTTGCACACACACGCTCACTCTCATCCATCTCTCAACTCTGGACCGCGCTCTCATTGTGTTTAAGGATGACATGCATTGTAACGTCTCAGTACAACCAAAATTATCTTCACATGTTATTTATCCATCTTTAATTTTGATTAATTTTTGTGGAGTTTATTATTTGAAAATTTATTGAATTTCTTTACTAGCCTCATTTTAATTTATGAACTGAAAGCGTTTTATTATACGGAAAAGTTTTCAGACTGGAAGGTATTAATATTTTTTTTATGTTGAACTAAAACCTTCTTGTAAATTTAAAAAAACCCTATAAATTTCTTAAATTATTAAAATAATTCACCCTTCCCAAAAAAGCAACATTAATTTTAAGATATAGACTCGTCTAAATAATTTTGATATGCGTGGAAGTAACAAAAGACTATATAATAGGAAAAAAACTTTCCCACTGGCTACAGTCTGTGCAATTAATTACCAAGAAAGGGCAACTAAGCTATGATTTAGCTTTAAAGTCATTGGTACTTATATAATTTTCTCAAAAACCTGATTTGTACATTTTCTCTTCCATTAAAACATTGACAAAATTCAGGTGGATATTAAGATATGATTTATATATTTGCTTACATTTTACAAAATATTTTTTATAAGAAGGAGAAACTGATCGAATCGATCAATATTTTTACAGACATGAATTATTTACTATTTATATTTTAAATTGAAAGCAGAAGCTTTAAATTATTTTCCACTTTCTAAACAGCTGCCAGTCAGGTTGGTAAAATATCTGATTCTGGCTACCAGTTATAGTAAAATGTTCACGCACCTCATATTCCTCATATTCTTTGCGGCCTGGATAGAAGCAACTATAAATAGTTGTTGCTAATTGATGCTCTTAAGCGTGCTGCGGTTGGAACAAATTTTCCAATCACCTCATTCCATCGCCTGTGATAATTATGACGCCTGTTGAACAATATAAGGTCGAGGCAAAAATTATTCAAGAAAATATCAATAAAATTCCTCGCATTAAAAGTTTGTGTCGCTTCATTAACTGCCGTGTAGTTTATGTCTTGGACTAGTTTATTATGGGGAGGACAATAATTTTCATCGCGTTACGTAAGGCGATGGAGACATTCAAGATATTTGCGCAGCTTGAGGTTTTAATTATTTATCGACTCGAAGATCTTAAATCTCTTCCAATGACACGCGGAGAGGAAAGTGAAGGCAGAATTTATTTCACTTTCATCAATTATTTCATAAATCGGGCTGTCAATGCACCGGGAAGAAGCGCACTTTCAGTCAGACAATGTGGTATTAAAATATGAAAAATCCTCCGCGACTGGCAAGTTAAGTCGGAGTGTAATTAGCCTCTCTTTGTATTTGTGCGTGTGTGTTTTCTATTGGCACGGTATGATCTGTTGTTTCTTGCGCCTCTCCGCTCGAATATCAATGAGTCCTTGTCAAACACGCTGTCTAATTTGCATTGCATCAATAATAGAAGGAAAGCCAATTATGAACAGTGACATACTGAATGGAAGAAAAATCCGTTACAATCATAGATAATTTTTTATTTAAATAAAAAATTTTCCTAGAAAAATGAAAACACAAAATAATATCAATTTAATTACCCGGGAGTACTGAATGTTTGATATTAACTATTAGCGTTGCTTTGTTTAGAAATTTTGTGATCGAATTTTTAAAAATCTGCTCAATTAAAATAATTGAAAATTTACACAATCTCCTCTTGTTAATAAGTGTGAAATAGACCAGCCAATAGCAAAATTAAATCTCATAATAAATTTCAGCTATTAAAATTCAAGTATTAATTATATTCATAATCTTCTTAACACGTATATATTAAGTTAAAAATTAAAATTTATAAATCTCATATAATAGAACACTTAAAATCTTTTGCGATCCCGTAGATGAACTTAAGAACTTTCGATTTTTTTTACCTTTCAGCATCAATTATAGTTTCAGTTTACAACCTCGTAATTTTTTCAATCTAATTATATTGCTTGATTAACAGCTTTTTCATTTATTTCAGACCTCTCATAAATAATCGCATGCGCCTTGCAAGTCACGCAACTTGTTTCCTTCCTCACTCTTTTATTTTAATGTGACCTTTAATTGTACAAATTTGGAATGTTTCGATATTGGCATTTGGCCGCTTCATGTAAGTATAGGTGAAGGCTTCAATAAGAATATTGTATACATAAATGTGTTTCTTCCTCATTTTGAACAAGAAATTATAGTGACTAAAGAGATTGGAAATATCCCGATTGAAATTACTGGTAGGCGAAAATTAGCTGCACGTGAGGCTATGCAATGGCTCTCACTATTAGTCAATAATCTGGCCGTTCCAACAAATTTCAGGTTAAAAATAAGTTATTTTACTACGGAATATGGTTAATTATTGTCAGCATTACAAGTTTATTGTATCTTTAATTGGAAATTTCCATGTAGATGCAAAAATAATCAAACGGCTGTTTTTATAGCACTTAGGGTTTTTATATAGATGATTTAGGAAAGAAAATATTATAAAATAAGTAGCAAAGTATTGAGTTGGATTTCAAGTATTAATTTCAAGAATATGAAATATAAATTAGGTCAATCTAAATTAAAATTTGATACATTTATTAAGGTTCAATTTGGACACAAGAGTATACAAGATATTGATCCAAATGTAAGTTTTAGTAAAGAATGCTATGCTGCATAGAAATTATTAATCAGGAACAAATAAAAAGCTTAAAATAAAAGCAAGTTAACAACACTGGCTCTCTCTGAACTCTTTAAATTTGTAATTTGTACACTTTTCCTGCTTATTAATTCTGTAATTAGTTCACGTTCTTAAAACATCTTGCTAAATACGAGTTGCAGACAAAGGCACTTCATTGACTGCAAATTACGCAATCTATACCCATCATAGCGAACATTACAGTGCAAAAACCTTGTAATGTCTCTCTCGTCAGACTTATTATCGCTCCGTGGTAAAATAAATTGCGTGTTAATCGATGCGTGAAAGGAATCAATGTTCGAGAGATTAGTAAAATTCTTCCTAAACAAATATTGCCTCGCTTTTTACAAAATCAATCGAATCTTTCCAAGCTCCTATTCTAATTCAAATTAGTTGCGACCCAACGCGCGACTAGTGTGTGAATGAATCAGCGAAGAGAGAGTATTCGAATAAACCCTATTGTTTGGCTGAGGAGTGTGCCAGAAACAATGAAACGCACGCCGAGTCCGCAGCAAATAAAGTAGATGTGATTATTCTGTCATTTTAGGCAGGGCAGTGAAAAATTTTATAAGAATAGAATTATTTAAAATTTAAAACTTATTTTAGCTTACAAATATCTCATTTTTTTTAAACCTTTTTTATTTATTTGTTTACTCAAAAATTGTAATAATTATTAAATTTTATTTGTTGATGAGATTATTTAATTTATGAAATTTCACAGATTTGACGTTTAATTTGTAATAAAATGTATCCAAGAATATATAAAATATATTTTACCGCTAGCAAACATTTATCTATAACATGCTAAATTTATTTAAACAACTGGGGAATTTTGTACTGGGTCTGGATTTATTATCACTATTAGATCAGATATTCATTTATTTTTTATGTGGAGGAAACCTCTTGTCGCAAGCTCATAAAAATATCAAGATGAGAAAATTGTAAATGATTTGAAATAAAAATTTAAAATTTTTCAATAACAATTATACAGTAGCGATTGTACAATTTTGATTTTTTTTTTTAATTTAAATAATAGTTTCATAATTTATTTTACCATAAAAAATTAGTGAATTTGGTCCCTTACATATTAAATAATGTCGCAGTTCAGGATAATCAACCGATTTTTAATTCCAGAGAATTTGGCACACTCATTTTTCACTGCCATGTGAGTGTGTCAAGAATGCCCATCTCTGGAGCGAATTGTATCATCACCTAAACCCATCTGCGTGCATTTTGGCGATTCGAAGTATATCCGCCCAGCAGTCTTCACTTTCACTCCTCGCGTGCTGCTGAACCTTAACCCTTTTGAGTTCGTTCCTTTTCGAGGCCGTCGATACACTAACACGCATATTATTCATAAACTCACATCTCGCTCAACGTTTTGTACATTTATGCGCACCCGAGCTGTCGGATCGAATTAATCACGTCAGTGTCACCAACCAAGCGACCTCTGGCTTGGATGTTCAGTTGTGTGATTGGTGCGTATCAACCTGTGGAAAATAATAGGAGGTTTTTGAACTGCATGATGAGAGTGCTCGTTTATTTTAATTTACGTTCGGAAATACATCATTTTTTAGTATTTCATTGTCAGAGGTAATAAGTGTGGGTTTGTAAACACCTCTGTTTAAATTAAGTGCATCTTGTTACTTTTACACATGGATTAATGCGCATGTCTCTTGTCACTTGTATTAAATAGGTCAGGAAAAAATGCATTAATAAAGATAGATTGCTTTTTTCTAGGAATGAATGTTTATTTCAAAATCAACAAGACTTAAGAAACATTGCAATGCTCATATGCACATAAAATTTTCCTTGATTCATTAAATTTTACCACTCTTCTTAGCATTCATGTTCAATCTTTAAGTTCTAATAAAAATTCAGACTGAAGTAAATTCACAATATACCATCTCTGCGAATATAGTTGGAATAGAAGCGAGAATAGAACGCCTCAGCAGCAGGAAGTTATTATCTTAAACATAAAAGCGCAAAAAGTATTAAAATTCTGAAAAGGCTATTCATGCTGTTTATGGGGGTCCTGGAGACACACTAAAGCGAGTAGAATTACTGTGGAGCAGCTGTGGAGGATGAGACGGATTTAATTTTGCCTCCTATTTAATCACAATCAAATTCAATGGAAACATCTGATTAT